GGATTCCCCCCAGTCCTGGTTTCCAGGCACCAACGGCTGCTGGAAACGTTCTCCTGGCGACAGAAAATCCATGGGAAGGCAGGCAGCCTGATGAAGTATTCATGGGGATTTTCATCACTGGTTTTACCCGCTGCAGGAAAGTCAGCTTTATTTTTAGTGAAGGATGGATCCAGCAGAAACACAGGAAAAATGCTCCATCTCCCTGGGAGCTGCGCGGGGGCACTGGAGAGGGCCTGTGCCCGGGAATGGGAACCAAACAAACCATAACAAACCATCCCCTAAGCGTTCCCTGGCCAATTCTGGGCCATGAGGACACCTGGACGGGGCTGTGGCTGATTCTCTGCTGCCCCAATGCTGCAGGCTCGCTCCTGCTGAGCCTCCAGTGATTCCCCCTAACCCCCAGCCTGCCTCTGTCCAGAGACAGCAGGAGGATCAATCACAGCTGATTAACTTGCCTTAACCATAAGAACCTCCCTGCATTAGCAAATGTTTTATTTGTTTCTGTAATGGACAGGAAAACATCCTCAGTGCCCGGCAGCTGCACCCATGGCAGTGCCAGCCCCGGGGTCCCAGTGCCACTGAGCCCTGATGGGACACTCACATCTGGCTCCAAACGATCTCACAGCACATTTCTGAGCCAGCCAAGCTCAGCCCCTGCCTCCCCTGGGTTTTCCCACTGCCTTTTCCCCACGGGCACTGCTCGCTGCCCGGGCAGTGCTGAGATGTGCTCCGTCAGCAGCAGATGCTTAATCTGTTTAAAAATAAACCCGTCACTCTCCTGTGACTGATGGGAATCTGTTACAGCAAATCCCACGGTAATGAGGAGCCCGGCCACGGCTGCCAGACCTCAGCACCTTCTTCCCTTCCCTTCCCTTCTTTGCAGGGCTCCAGAGGAGGGCTGGGGTCCCTGTGCTGAGGCTCTGCAGCTCACCGTTCCCTGCCCGTGTTTGTGCCCATTTACTGACACAGCCACAGGTGACTCCTGGTGGGCACAGGGGCTCCTGGGGCTGTCCTTGCTGGGGCAGGGTGACCTGTGCTGGTGTCCAGGGATGTGGGCTGGCCCTGGGCTCCCCACCGTGCCCTTGGGGAGGATAATCCCAGTGCCCTGTAAGCAGCTCCTGCTGGGACTCACTGGGAGCCTCTGCCTGCAGCAAGTGGGGCAGGAGCTGGTTTGGTGAGCGGCCCTGCGCTGCTCCTGTGACACTGGGTGTGACTGTCAGCTGCATTTGGGGCCTGCTTCACCCTCTGAAAATTCAATAATATTTCCTGTGGCTCCTGCAGCTCCTGGGGCCACCACCTCACAGCAGGTGCCCGATGCCTTGCTGTGCTCCCAGCTGGCTGCGGGAGAGACAGGGAGAAGGAATTCCATGGTGGCAGTAAGGGATGAGTCAGTTCCAGAGGTTTGGACATTAAATCCTTAATTAGTGACGGACTTTGGTGTGCAAGAGCCCAGCAGGGCTGTTCCCAGGGCTGCTGGCAGCAGTGGCAGTCCTGGCCTTGTCCCCCCAGGCCAGTCCCGGTGACCCTGGGGATCACCTGCTCGGACGTGGTGTGTCCAGCCCAGCACAGATGGTCCAAGGTGACCCAGCCGTGCCACCAGCACCTTCCACGTGTGCCCAGCCTGGAGCCAGGTGAGGCAGCCAGACAGGGGATGGGGACGGCTGTGCCTGGTGACACCTTGTACCTGTAGGGACAGCAAACACCTTCAAAATCCCAAATCCTTGGCACCCGGGGGGCTCAGCGCTGTTCTGCTGCCAGGTGGCAAACCCAGGTGTGACAGCAGGGACCTCGGCCTGCAGAGTGCAGCATCACAGGGCTACAGAACCCCCTCCTGGCTACAGCGCCTTCTGAGGGCCTGCACGGCACAGCCGTGCCCAAAATACCCAAAACACCTGTTTGCCACATCCAGCTGGGGTGCACAGACCCCTCAGAGAGCCCCAGGCACGACAGTCCCGAGGAAGGGGAAATGCCCCTCAGGCCAGGGCAGTGTGCAGAGGCTCCCTGAGGCTGGCAGGGTGCCGCAGTGCCAGCCAAGGCAGGGCTGTGCCCCTGGGGCTGCTGTGCCCCTGGCTGTCCCTGCAGGGCCCCCAGCCGGCCCTGCCGCAGCGTGGGGAGGCAATCCCATCCATCCCATTCCCCTCCATCCCTCGGGCAGGAGCTCGGAGCGCTGTCCCAGCCCTCCCCGAGGCTCGGGAGCGAGGGAGAGCTGCTGGCACCGGTCCCCAGGCTGTCATCCCGGGCGCTGGCACTCCCAGGGAACAGCTCAGCGCTTCCGAGGGCTGCTGGAACAATTCGGCACCGCACGGTCACAGCCCCAGGGCGCTGACGTTCGGAAATGCCAGCAGGGCGGTGATTTCTGCGGCCGGGCTGCCCCGGGGCTGGGCACGGCACAGGGTGTGGTGTTAATGAGGGATTGCGCTAATGAGCCCTTGAGCGTGAGGAGCCCTCGGCTGAACATCCCCGTGCCCACAGCACTGCGGGCAATGGCACCGAGCCTGCCCAGCGCCAGCGGGACCCCAGGGATGGGATGCAGCGTCCCCTTGCTGTCCTGTGCCAGCTGTGCCCTCGGTGCTGCTGCAGGTCCTGCTCAGGGTGTGCATGGGACGGGAGCCCACAAGAGCCACTTCCAGATTTGTTTAACACCTCAGAGAGGAGCAAAGAAACCACAGCAGTTAAAGCACCTGGGAACCCTGGCAGTCTGTGCTGAGGGCAAACTCCCTGTGCCATGGGCAGCATGCCGAGGCTGGCCCTGCTGGCCCTCAGAGGCGCGAGCAACGCTTCCCTGGGCTGCTGGGCCAGGAGGGGCACACTGCAAAGCCCTCCCCTGATGGATGCCACCTCACCTCAGCAAACACACCTCCCTTGGTGCCAGGAATCAAACCTTCCATGGCCTGAGCCTTGGAAGCTCTCAGTGATGTTTCCATCACCCTCTGTAACTTCCAGAGGGATCTGAACTGAACCAGCCCCATGGGGGAGTCCAGAGGCTGGGCCTGGCACCATCCCCAGCCCAGCCCAAGGCTGCCTGTCCCCAGTGCTGCAGTGCTGCTGCCCTGGGGCAGTGGGACCCTCACCCTGTGAGCGCTGGGCACGCTGGGGCTGTCCCTGGGTGCTGCTCGTGCCCAGGTACACCCCAGCCCCTGCCCCTCCAGGCACATCCCTGTGTCTGCTCAGGGGGCTTGGCAGCTGCCTTCCATACAATAATTATACAGTTATTGTTGTTGTTAATGCCAGCTGCCCGGCTGTTATTGCATCCAGGACTTTGCAGGCTGCCACAGGGGTCTCTTTCTGTGCCACCGTTCATAGGTGGCAGCTTTGGCACAGGAGGCACTTCTGCTTTGTGCTGAGCCCCCTCTCAGCCCTGGCGGGGGCTGCAGCAGTGAAAGGGGACGTGGGACCCCCCCTGATGGGGCTGGACAACGGGAAGGGAGAGAGCCCTGGCCATGGAGGGGAGCTGGCCGTGCTGCTGGGAAAGCCCTGGAGCTGCAAATCCGCCTGCAGCTGGGCACAGGGGCAGGAGGGGAGGCTGAGGGGCAGGGCTTGGGGCAGTGGGTGACCCCAGCCCCGCTCTGGCACAGACCGAGGGACAGGAGGGGAGGCTGAGGGGCAGGGTCGGGGCAGTGCATGGCCCCAGCCCCGCTCTGGCACAGACCCAGGGGCAGGCTCGGGCAGTGCGTGGACCCAGCCCCGCTCTGGCACTGCCCCGGTGCCAGCAGCCTCGGGCCGCGTCCCTGAGGTGGCGGTGGGCGCTGTTCCAGCAGTACCCAGGCCAGGCAGCTCCATCCTGGCAGTGCCAGCACCTTGCCCAATTCCAGCCTGTTCCCTCCCGTTCCCATGGCAACCCGTGACCTCAGCGGGCTCCTCGGAGCTCCGCCAGCGCTTTCAGCAGAAATGGAGCCGATGGCCGGGGCTGGCCTGCTGTCCCCCTGTCCGTGGGGTCTGTCACACGTGGGGCTCGGCTCGGGCTGGCCCTGCTGCAGGGCTGAGGCGCCACATTGCAGGTGCCACCCTCGGTGCCGCGGCTGTGGCATCTGGCTGACCCGGCGCTCCTGGCAGCGCAGGGCCCTGGGGTACAGGGGCACCGGGGCACTCCCTCCCTGCACGGGCTGCAGCCACAGCCAGGGCCAGCTCTCCAGTGCCCACGCTTCCCAGTTTCGCCCTGCTCGGCAGAGCACACAAGGCAGGATGGAGAAGAGGGATCAGGAGTGAGACAAACAGAAATAAAACCAGAAATAACCAGAAATAAATGGAGAAACTGATCCCTGTGCTCTGCCTGCTGGTGCCACTTCTCTCGAGGTCCTCCCCTGCCCAAGGGTCCCTTTTGGCCTGGGATTCGCCTCCCCAGGGCTCCCATCTGGTCTGGGGTCCCTCCCGGCCGAGCCTCTGGCTGTTCCGGGGGTCTCTCGTGCCCAGGGGTCCCCCTTGCTCTCGGGGTTCTGTGTGTCTGGAGCTGTCTCAGCTCTGGCTGTGCCTGAGGGTCCCTCTCGGCCCGGGGCTCCAGCCGTGGGAGGATTCTGTGCTGGCCCGAGGGTCCCAATGCCCGGGGGTCCCTCTCGGCGCGGGGCTCCCTCTCGGCCCGGGGGTCCCTCTCGGCCCGGGGGTCTCTCTCGGCCCGGGGATCCCTGGCGGTGCGGAGCTGCCGGTGCCGGTGCTGGCGGCGGCCCCGGCATCCCGCGGCCCGGGGGCGGCCCCGGCGAGCGCAGCGCGGCGCGACCACCCCCGCAGCCGGCGGCAGGGAGGGAGGCTCGGGAGAGCGGCGGCGAAGGAGGGCCGCGGCTCCGCTCGGCTCCGCTCGGCTCCGCTCGGCGCTGACGGTCCCCGGTGCCGCCGCCGTCACTCGCCCCGCCCGTGCGCGGTTCGGCGCGGCGGGTGCGGGACCGGGACCGGGCTCGGCGGCACAGCCGGGGCTCGGCGGCACAGCCGGGCCGCGGGATGAGCGCCCGGCGGCTCCCCGGGGGCAGCGGGGGCCGCTGATGCTGCGGGGCCCGCGGGCTCTGCGGGGGCGGCGGGGGCGGCTCGGCGCGGCCCCGCCCGCGGCGGGGGCCATGTGAGCGCGGAGCCGGCAGGATGCAGAAGGGGATGCGGCTCAATGACGGGCACGTCGCCCACCTGGGGCTGCTGGCGAAGAAGGACGGGGCCCGGCGCGGATACCTGAGCAAGCGGAGCGCCGACAACACGAAATGGCACACCAAGTGGTTCGCGCTGCTCCAGAACATGCTCTTCTACTTCGAGACCGACTCCAGCTCCCGGCCCTCGGGGCTCTACCTGCTCGAGGGCTGCGTCTGCGACCGCGCGCCCTCCCCCAAGCCGCCCCTCTCGGCCAAGGACTCCCTGGAGAAGCAGGTGGGGACGCGGGGGTCCCGCCGAGGGGGAGGGAGCGTGCCCCGGTGGGGAGTCCTGGCCCCTCGCCCCCGGAACTTGCGGCGCCAGTGACCGGCGCCACGCGTGACCGCGGTGGGGAGGTGAGGAAGAGGCCGGTCCGTGCGGGGGAAGGGGACGATCCCCGGGGCTGCAGTGCCGGAGCAGCGGGCGGGCTCACTGTGGGGGTGTCGGGCTCTGCCCGGGGCACCCCCGCTCCCCCTCCCGTCTAATTAACCGCCGGTAATTAGCGCGGGGCTGCGGGGCGCCTCCCCGCGGCCGCGCTGGGCGCTGCAGAGCCCCGCGCCCCCCGCGCGTCCCCCCCGGCCCGCCAGGTTCGGGTTCGGGGTCTGGAGCGGGGGCACGGCAGAGCTCCCGTGGGGCGGCCCCGGTGCGCGGCCCCGCTGTTGCCAGCCCCCGTGTGCCCCTCCGTGCCCCCTCCGTGCCCCTCCGTGCCCCGTGGCGTGCGGGCAGCGCCCCCGGCCCGGCGGAGCGAGCAGCCTGCGGTGGGTGCGCGCTGCTCGGCGGGGGTAGCTCGGGCCTTGTTTTCAGGCGGATTTCACCCTGCTCCGCTCGCCACGTGTGCGGTTTGCGCCCGCACCCCCATCCCTGGCGGGGAAAGGCAGAGTGCGGGTCCCCGAGCCCTCCGAGCCGGCTCCGGCGTCCTTGGGCCCCGCTGATGGCTGCGGGCGATCAGCGCGGACGCACCTTGGGAGAGCCGGGGCCATCCAGGTGTCCCCCAGCCCCGGGGCTGCTGCGGTCCCCTGGCGGGCCCGGGTGGGTTTCTCGCACCAGCTGTGCCTTTTCCGGCCGGGCAGGGCATCCCGGGGCAGCCCGGCAGGGACGCTGGCAGCCCCTGGCGTGTTTTCGGGGCGCTTAGCTGGAGCTGGGGTGCGCCGCAGCAGCCGGGAGAGCGGGGACGGTGCCAGGCAGGGGGAGAGGGGCTGGATTCCAGCTGCGGGGGCAAATCCCCTGCATCCCCTCCGGAGCCACCCCCGGTCTCACCAGCGGGGACGGGAGCGGGCTGGAGTCACCCTCTGACCCCCCGGCGGTGTGTGCAGCGCGGCCGGGTGCCCTGCGGGCGGCACCGGGGGGGTCCCGGACCCCCATCCCGGGCAGGCACAGCGCGTTCGGGTCCGGCTCTGCAGGGCTTGCATAATTCTGCCTGGCGGGCTCGGGAGCGCTGCCGGAGACTGCAGGATGGGCCCGGGGCACCCCCGGCACCGCGGGGCATGGACAGCCGGGGAGGAAAGCAGCCCCTGATTCTGGCTGTTCTGGCCCCTGGAAACCCTGCCCAGAGAGCCAGGCATGCAGCACCACTGCTCCCTGGCACATCCCTCCCGCCTGGCTCGGAGCACGGGAATATTCCCTTGCGAACAGGGAAATGCTGTGGGCTATGCCCGGCTGGGGCTCCCTCCAGCAGCACCTCGGGGGCTGTGGCGGCGAGAGGGGTCTGCAGTGGCAGGGGTCACGCCGCCGTGGCTGTCTCTGTGTGCTCCTAGCCCAGCCTCCATGAAGCTCAGCAGCCAGGCTGCCATCAGCCCTGCTGCCAGGCTGGAATCCAGCTGGGAATGCAGGCTCTGGGTCCCGGTGTTTGTGCAGGAGGGTTTCCACCCCTCAGACACCATGGGGAGGCTGGCACATCCCCTCTCCAGCTCCAAACGCACCCGGGTGTTGGTGCTCGCTGTGAGTGAGGGGCTGCTGGCACAGGGGGCTCCTGCCGTGGCACACACATCCCCTGCCTCTCACGGGTGTGCCGCGGTTCAGCGCCCGGCCTGGGATGCTGTGGAATTCCTTGGGCAAACCGGAGGGACTGCCAGCCCCGGCGCCGGGTGCCCGCTGCTCTGCAAGCTGATTACCGGCCCGGGGATGAGATAAGCGGCCAATATTGACGGTGCAGATCCGCAGGGCCGTGCTCGGGCAGGGTCTGTGCCCCCAGGGCAGGAAAGCCTCGGCTCAGGCTCACCTGAGGGCCAGCCGGGCCAGCAGCCTCCGGGGAAAGTGCTGAGGAAATTTCCAGCACTGCCCGTGTTCCCAATTAGTCTGTGCTGAGGGGATTTATCCATCCGTGCATTCCAGCTCTGAGCACACTGCTCCTTGCAGCACGGGAGCTCCAGCTCGGATTGCTTCCTGGCTGGAGTGCAGGAATCCCGACAGGTTCCCTGTTCCCTGCAAAGGAGAAACCAAGAGATGGGGCTTTCAACCCCCTCCCTTTTAATGTACTCATGATTTGCTTTGGGGGGATTTTTCCCTGCAACACAATGAATTTCAGCATTGGTATATGTGAGAATGAGGGAGCAAAGACATGTGGAAAACTGGAGCATCGAAGAGGAATTTGCTGCCTCTGGAAACTTAGTTGTGTTTTTCCAGAAATGGATTTTCCTTCCAACCAGTTGGATGGGGAAGATGATTTCCTGCTGGGTGAGGTCAGGCTGTGGCCTGGGAAGGGTCTGTGGGTTGGGATGGGGAGCTGTGATCTGGCTGCTCAGGGCAGCAGTGCCAGCAGTGCTGGGGAGCCGGGCTGGGAGCGAGCCCCCTTTCCCTGCTGTGGTGTCTGGGCCGTGGCACACCCCAGCCCTGCTGCTCCTGGCCCCTGAGGTGTTGGGATGTGCTCTCATGGGTCACTGTCCTGTCCCTGGGCAGTTTGAGTGTCCCCAGGTGGGAGGGCACGACCCAGGTGAGGTCCTGGTGGTGGAGCTGAGCAGGTGCAGGGTGCAGAGCTGATCCCACCACGCCCAGAGATGCCCCAGTGAGGGGTGAGGGCTGTGCTTTGCCAGCTGGGCAGCAGCAATCACGGCTGGGTTTGCTCCCAGGATCCAGCCTGGAGCTGGATTTACAGTCCAGCATCACTGGGGCTGGGCAAGCCCCCTGAGCCCCTCAGCCCAAGCGTTCCCCTGCAGAGCCCTGCTCGTGCCCCAGGTGCTGCACCACACGCACAGCTTTGGGCAGCTCCAGGGATGGGCACTGCACGGTGCCCGGGCAGCCTGGGCTGGTGTCCAGGGCCATTTCCCGGTGCCCTGGGCTGTCCTGGGCAGGAGCCCTCAGTCAGAGCCAGCCTGGAGCTGAGTCAGGCCCAGGACTGGGCTGTGTCCCCGGCTGGGGCTGCTCCTGAGCTCCCACTGCCCGTGGATGGGATTTCCCTCCCCTCTGCAGAGCCTTTCCAGGGATGGGGCCATGGAACAGCGAGTTCAGCCTGTGCTGTGGCCCCCATTCCTGTCAGTCTGGGGTATCTGGGTGCCCTGAGGCCGTGCAGCAGCCCCTGCCAGCTCAGCTGTCCCAGCCCCAGCCCTGCTGCAGCCGTTCCTGCAGTGCCAGGGCCTGGGCAGCTCTGTGGGGTGCAGCAGTGGGGCCCAGCCCTGCACGGGGGTCCCGGGTACCCCAGGAGGGCCCTGCAGGGTGCTTGGGGGCCAGACCTGTCACCGTGGGCATCCTGAGCAGGGCAGGGCACCGTGGGCATCCTGAGCAGGGCAGGTCACTGTGGGCATCCTGAGCAGGACAGGTCACCGTGGGCATCCTGAGCAGGGCAGGGCACCGTGGGCATCCTGAGCAGGGCAGGGCACTGTGGGCATCCTGAGCAGGGCAGGTCACGGTGGGCATCCTGAGCAGGGCAGGTCACCGTGGGCATCCTGAGCAGGGCAGGGCACTGTGGGCATCCTGAGCTGGGCAGTCACCGTGGGCATCCTGAGCTGGGCAGGGCACTGTGGGCATCCTGGGCAGGGCACCGTGGGCATCCTGAGCTGGGCAGTGCCCAGGCTGTTCCCAATTCAGGATGGGTGTGCCAGGCACTGCATCCCCAGGTCCCAGCGCTGGCTGCAGGTCCATGAGCATCAGCCATCCGGGCCGGTGAGAATTCTTCCACCTGAATGTTGTTCCAGGCAATCTGATTTTTGGAGGCTGTAAATCATAATTTGTGGACTTAAACCTGAACTATTCCTCAGCATGGCGGTGACACTGGGTTTTTAATTAATTAGTGTAATGAGTGGTGCCATGTGGGGATTTCTGAGTGAGGGGATGTTCACAGTGTTGGTCCCAGCCATGCCTGCATGCCTGCCTGCCAGCATCACCAGATAAAATCAGGGGGAAAACTGATTTATTTTAATTATTTTACAAATATTTCTCTGAGCCTGCTCCACAAGGGTGATGCTCACCTCTAGTATCCCTTTCCAAATATCCTGACAGCCCGTAGTGAAACAAAGAGGGGAAATTGCAGCCTCTGGGATATTTTTCCTTACTGTCATCGCGGAAATGAGCTGCTGGAGCATCCAACTCCGAGGTCCTGTTTTCCCAGAGCACATGGTATGTAGGTCAGGGATGTTAAAAGCTGCCATGGCTGGCTGTGGATTTTTAGACTCATCCATCCAGAGCAGGAAAATTCTCCTCCTCTTGCCCTTTGTGTCAGCTGGAATCACCATCAGCTCCGCGAGCAGGCGGCCGTGGATCCGCAGGGCGGGCGGCTCCGGGGTGCCGGGGCGTCCCTGTGGGGAGAGCCCCCGAGATGGCACCCCCAGGCCAGGACAGGGGGCAGCCCCTGCTCTGGGGTCGCTGGGGAGCCTCTCCCCTGCAGGGACCATTGTGGGGGCGCTGGGAGAGCGCCCACCCCCACCACAGCCCCCCAAGGGCTCTGGTGGGTTCTTCAGGCTGGAAAATGCCCTTCTGCAAATTCTAAATAATTCTGTGGGAGGCTGACTCTCTGCTTTGGAAATAACGCGTCGCTTTAAAGCTCATTTGAGTTTATTTTGGAGCCTTTCTGCACACCAGGGGCCCCGGGAAACGCCACCCCCCTGCAGCAGGGAGGGCCTGCAGGGAGCCGGGTGATGGTCACAGGGCTGTGGTGGCCTGGGGAGCCGGGTGACTGTCACCTGCTGGGGTCACGGGGCTGTGGTGGCCTGGGGAGCCGGGTGACTGTCACCCAGCAAGGTCACGGGGCTGTGGTGGCCTGGGGAGCCGGGTGACTGTCACCCAGCAAGGTCACGGGGCTGTGGGTGCCCCCGGAGATGCTCTCATCTTTCCCTTGGTGACCTGGCACGCTCCCGCAGCATTGTTTGGGGCAGAATTGCTGTGAGTTGCTGTGAAATCCGTGAGGTCCGGGTAGCTGGGCATGGCCAGGGGGTGGCTCCAGGGGCTGTGTGTCCGGCAGTGCCAGACGGACACACGGACACACGGCCACAGCCCGGGGGCTGTGTGGGCACCATGGAAATGGGAGGATGGAAAACCCCGCATGAGGGATCCTCCAGGAACCAAATGTGCTCATTCGGGGGAGCAGAGCGAGGGGGTGGGATGAGGGGGGGTCTAGTCCCGGGGCTGGGGTTGTTGAGGTGATAAATGAACAAAAACCAGGTGCAAGGAGAAGTAAAGTGACACTGTGGGCAGCACAAACTGCCCTGGGGATGCCATGGTGGGGCTGGGGGCTCACACTGGTACTCCCAGTACAGTGGCTGGTCCTGTGCTGGGTCTGCCCCTGGGTCTGGCCCCGTCCGTGGGTCTGCCCCCGTCCGTGGGTCCGATGCTCAGGAGGCAGCGAGTGCCAGGACGCGCTCCCGGGCTGTCGGTGCCGTGTGTCACTGTGATGATGGCAGAGAGGGATCATCGTTTAGGCGGAGATAAAAGGTGGTGGGAGTTTTATTATTCAAATATAAAATAACTTCCTCCTTCCCAGCACGCTGCACTTCCTGGGAATTGTGTGGGGATAAACGGGAGCAGCGCATGGAGGGGGTGTGTGCTGGCACAGCCGGGCTGGGCTCCCAGCCTGGGCCACAGCCCTGCCCTGGCCACAGCCCTGCCCTGGGGGCTCCCACCCTGCACAGTTGCAGTTACAAGGGAAGGGATGTCAGGTGGGGGTAGAGCTGGGGTACAGAACCCTCCCTATGGGGATCTCAGGTTTTTGGTGAGTTTTCCCTCGGAGCTGCGTCTTTGCCAGTGAAAGCCTTTGGGAGTGGGACGCCGAGGCTGGGGAGCTGCTGCAGCCCCAGGGGTGTCCTGCAGGCAGCCACGGAGCTCTGGGCACCTGAGCCTGGCAGGGGTGGGCAATGGGTGGTGCTGTCTGACACTGGGGTGGGTGATGGTGTCTGACACTGGGGTGGGTGATGGATGGCGGTGTTTGACGTTGGGCATGGCTCCGTAAGGTGAAAGCTGGGCCACAGGATCAGCAGTAAAGGTTCCTGCGCTCAGAGGATCCATGGCAGAAGTGAAGGAGCTGCATTCCCCAGGGCCCTGCAGCTGCTGCCCAAAGGTGAAAGCTGTCTCTGGAGGAGGGCCCTGCTGTGCCCATGGGCATCGTGGGCTCCCGGCTCCCTCTCCCCCTCTGCTGGACCTGGAGGGGCTGCGTGAGCTCCGAGGGTGCCCCTGAGCCTGGGCACGGGCTGGGGCTGGGGCTCTGCCTGTGCCCTGCCTCCCCATCATCCTGCTGCGTTGTCTGGGGGTCCCTGTGCCCAGCACCCCTGGGCCTGCTGGGGACAGGAGGGGAAGGGCCTTGTGGTGCCCACAGCTGTTTTCATGGCACACACAGGGGCTGCCCAGGCTCTGCTCCCGGGTTTGAGGCAGGTTTCAGCCGTGAATTCAGGTCCCTGGTGAAGGCCAGCAGATGATGTCAGGATGAGCTCGTTCCAGCGCGCTCGGTTTAGCCCAGTTATTCCGGGCAGCATCCGGCACTGCAGCGTGGTACCTGTTTCCTTGGAGACTGCAGGGAAGCAGAGCAGCGGCACAAGCCCGGCGGCGGCGGCGGCACCGCACACAATCGGCACAAACACGGCAAATGTCAAGGGAGCCTAAAAATAGCCCCGCACCGCGGCCACCTTCCCCCCGAGCCGGGGAGGGGACACGGGGACCCGGCTGTGCCCGCCGCCACCTCCGGGGGGCTCCGGGGGGCTCGATGCCACACGGCCGGGCTGCAGCAGGGAGCGCAGCCAGGGGAGCGCTGGGGATGGAAAATCCCTCTGAGGCCAGCACTAACTGTGCTGTGGGGATGGAAAATCCCTCTGAGGCCAGCACTAACTGTGCTGTGGGATACAGGTGCAGCTCAGCATCCCTGCTCCCCTGCCCGCTCCCCGAGTGAGCAGCGGGTGGCCGCAGGTTCAGCACTGCAGCGCCCCGGCCTTGGGTGGGCTTGGTGGATTTTCCTGCAGCTGGGGCTTTGCCCAGCAGGATTTCCCCTCGATTTCCCTCACCAGTGGCATGGCTGTGCTGAGGGCACATGGTGGCTGGGCTCCTGGTGTTCCCAAAGCTGCATTTTGGGGTAAAATAAACATCAAAGCTGTTTATTTTCAATGACGCAGCCTGGGGTGGGTCAGGAAATCAGGTCCAGAAATACTTTCTGCCAGCCCTGTGCGGGGTGTGACTGTGCCCCCTGTGCAGGGTGTGACCATGTCCCTGTGCAGTTTGTCGCTGTGACCGTGCCCCCTGTGCTCCCCCCACAGCACTACTTCACGGTGAACTTCAACCATGAGAACCAGAAGACGCTGGAGCTGCGCACGGAGGACGCCAAGGACTGCGACGAGTGGGTGGCAGCCATAGCTCACGCCAGGTGTGCCCCGCGGGTGAGGGTGAGGTGAAGAGTGCTGAGGGTGGCTGGGGAGCAGGGTGAGCTGGGCACTGCCCCCCCGATGCTGAGCGGGGGCTGTGCTCAGGTGTTCCCCTGTTCCCATCCCAGTGCCATGGCACCAGCCCCCCTGGCACGCTGGCACTGCCCGTCCCAGCCTGCAGCCAGAGGGATTCATCCTCAGGCTGAGGGAATCTGGGAAGGGATGGCAAACCTGGTGGGGACAGGGATTGTCAGGCTCCTGTCTGTGCCCTGGCAGTGCTGGCACAGCCCAGATGCCAAGGAGAGCAGCGAGGATCCAGTGCAGTGCAGGTGCCTCTGGGGAAGGAGATGAGGTGTGGGAGCACGGAATGGGACAAACACCCACAAACACCATCCCCTGAGGCTGGGCCAGGAGCAGGGAATGGGACAAACAAACACCATCCCCTGCAGCCCCTGCCAGGAGCAGGGAATGGGACAGACAAACACCATCCCTGCAGGCCCTGCCAGGAGCAGGGAATGGGACAGACAAACACCATCCCTGCAGGCCCTGCCAGGAGCAGGGAATGGGACAAACAAACACCATCCCTGCAGCCCCTGCCAGGAGCAGGGAATGGGACAGACAAACACCATCCCCTGCAGCCCCTGCCAGGAGCAGGGAATGGGACAGACAAACACCATCCCTGCAGGCCCTGCCAGGAGCAGGGAACGGGACAAACACCAACAAACACCATCCCTGAAGCCCCTGCCAGGAGCAGGGAATGGGATAAACCAAACACCATCCCCTGCAGCCCCTGCCCAGAGCAGGGCCTGGTAGGAGCTTGTGCCACTCATGTCCTTCTCAAACTCCTGGAACATGGCCGGTTGCAGAGGTTTGACCATGAGTGTTTGGGGTCCTTTGTGACTCCTGTGCTTTCATTACCGTTTGCTCTGTCCTTTCTGTGCCCCCTGTGGGAGCCCGTGCCCTGCCCACGGGAGCAGCAGCACCCCCAGCCGCAGGAGCTGCCCCGGGGGCTGTGAGCAGTGGGGAGCAGGGGGGATCCCAAGCCCCCTCCCGGTGCTGGGGCCGTGCTCTGCAGGGCAGGCTTGGGGCAGGGATGCTCACGGCCGTGTCTCTGCAGCTACAGGAACCTGGCGACGGAGCACGAGGCGCTGATGCAGAAGTACCTCCACCTCCTGCAGATCGTGGAGACCGAGAAGACTGTTGCCAAGCAACTCCGGCAGCAGATCGAGGACGGGGAGATCGAGATCGAGCGCCTCAAGGCCGAGGTGAAGCGCCCGCGGATGCTCCGGCGCCCCGGGGTGACCGTGGGGGACGGGTGCCATCCCTGTGCGGGCAGGGGTGTCACCGCCGGGGTTCTGCTGCTCTTAGCGACACGGGGCTGGCCCTGCCTCCCTCGGGCATTTCCCAGGCAGGAGGGGCGCAGCAAGGGGCTGTGGCTGTGCCCCCCAGCACGGGAGATGCCCGGCCTGAGCGGGGGTGATGCTCCTGAACGCGGGGGAGAGCCCTGAGTGCTCGGGGTGCTGTCGGGGTGCTCCTGGCAGTGGGTATCCCCATCCCTGGCCATCCCGTGCTGCCTGACTCTGCCTGCAGCACTGTGCCCCCTCCCTGCCAGGGCTGTGCCCGGGATGGGTGCTGGCCCTGCCGCAGTGGTGGGCAGTGGGCACAGCGAGTGTGGGGCACCCTGTGCTCTGCCAGGCTCTCCTCATGCCAGGCACGGCGTTGGGAACCAGCCGTGGGGTGGAGGCAGCCAGGAGTGGGCTGGCAGGGCTGGGACCTTGACCCCAGATCTCTCAGAACCCCAACATCGCCCCAGAGGGGCATCTGAGGAGGCAGTGAGGTTTCATCTGCCCTAATGGTGGGCTTTTCCTAAAATATTGAATTTTTGGGTTCAAATGGGCAGGTCAATCCCTGACCATGTGTTGTGGTGCACAACAGGCTCTAAAATCTCCTCTAACATCTGATCCATATAATGAAATGGGGTGCAACAGATGTGTAGAAGCTGGATCAGTGACCATGAGCCTGTGGCCACCAGTTCTGGTGTATTTCTGCTTTTTCCACCAGTCCAAACTCCACCTCTTTCCTCCTTTCTCTCCAAAATGGGACATCTTCCCCATCCCCCCCAGGAAAGCACTCTTTCCAAGTTGTTTCCTTCAAAATCCAAACCCAGATCACATTTTCCCAATTTCCCACGTTCTGGATGGCACATGTGCTGTTTCTTGCCTTTTCCTGTCACTTTTCAAGTGGTTTTGGCCATGGGGGCCGGGACAGGCGACGAGCAGAGGAGGGAGAGAAAGCACAGGGAGAAACAGTGAAAGCAAACCCGGGAGCTGATGGCTCTGATCCTGCCTGTGAGGGATGCCTGGGGGCTGCTGCCCGCCTGCACATCTCGGGGTCCAAATGCTCATTGGATTCTTCTGCCATTTTCTCCCCAAGCTGTGTTTGCTGAGTTGCTGTGAAGGCTTTTTTGGGAGGCAGGGATGGGTCTTGGATTGGGCACCCATGAGGATTTCCAGGTGCTGGTCCTGGCAGGGTTCAGAGGTATTGAGGAGTTGGTGACAGCTCTGTCACCTTTCCTCACCTGCTTCATCCACCAATTGAATCCCCACCCCTGGAGAGGTTTAAAAGCCGTGTGCATGTGGCACTTGGGGACAATGGTGGGTTAGTGGCAGCGTTGTGATCGGGTGGGCTTGATGGTCTCAGAGGGCTTTTCCAGCCTGACGCGCTCTGTGGCTCCGTGAGTGTGTGATGGGCGTTAGGACAGACCCAGCACAAGGTGTGCCCGTGTCTGTCATTAACCCAGGGCTCACGCTGTTCCCTGGCACAGGGGCAGCCCGGGATGCCCTCAGCCCCTGGGATACCCCTGGAATGCCCTCGGGTCCTGGGATGTGCTCAGCCCCTGGGATACCCCGGGATGCCCTCAGCCCCTGGGATGCCCCCAGCCCCTGGGATGCCCCTGGGATGCCCTTGGCCCCTGGGATACCCCGAGATGCCCCCAGCCCCGGGCAGAGCAGGGCCCCGGGCCCCTGCTCACCCATCCCTGTGCCCGCAGATCGCGTCCCTGCTCAAGGACCACGAGCGCATCCAGGCCAGCCAGGGCAGCGCGCCCAGCGACGACGACAGTGACATCAAGAAGATCAAGAAGGTGGGTGGTGGTGGCGAGGGCTGGCACTGGGGGCCCAGCAGGCACGGCAGACGTGGGCCCCGGGGGCTGGAGGAGGTGTCTGAGCCAGGGCTGCTGTCAGCAGGATTTCAGGAGGAAAATGTGTTCTGCCCAGGCGGGAGCCCATCTGTTGGCAGGGCACTCCCAGCATTGCTGGGAGCATGAGGCTTCCCAGCCAGTGCTGGCTCCTGCACCTCCAGCCCCTCTGGCTTCTGCTCCCATGGCTGTCACTGCTTTTATTGTGGCCAAGGAAAAGCCATCATCACCTGCCAGCATTCCCACAGGGAGCAACAGCCCCAGGCACCCCCTGTCCTAGAGTGGGAGCCCTGGGCACAGAGCAGGACGTGCTGCAGGCGCCCAGCTACACCAGGAAGGGATCTGAAACCTCATCTCCTTATGCTCCCTGTGGAAGGCACACCTTCCACTGTCCCAGGCTGCTCCAAGCCCCATCCAACCTTCCCCTGACCACGTCAGGGATGGGGCAGCCATGGCTGTGGGGGCAGCCTGTGCCAGGAGTTTGGACGAGCTGTTGGATCCCCAGCCTGGAGGGCTCGGAGCAGCACCGGGAAGAGGCAGCAGCACACACACCTGGGTACAGAGCCTGGGACCTCACTGTGCTGACCGAGGGCCCCTGCCCGGCCCCAGCCCCGTCCCTGAGCCCAGCCCTGCTCCCCCAGGTGCAGAGCTTCCTGCGGGGCTGGCTGTGCCGCAGGAAGTGGAAGACCATCATCCAGGACTACATCAGGTCCCCCCACGCCGACAGCATGCGCAAGAGGAACCAGGTGGTGTTCAGCATGCTGGAGGCCGAGGCCGAGTACGTGCAGCAGCTCCACATCCTGGTCAACAACTTCCTGCGGCCCCTGCGCATGGCCGCCAGCTCCAAGAAGCCGCCCATCACCCACGACGATGTCAGCAGCATCTTCCTCAACAGGTGAGCTCTGTCCTGGGCTCCGGGAGCTCTGCGGTGTCCCAGCAGCTCTGCACAACCACTGCCCTCCCTGGTGCTGGGAGTCTGCACTCCACCGTTCCCTGGTGCTGGGGGTCTGCAGTTCCATCATTCCCTGGTGCTGGGAGTCTGCGGCTCCACCATCCCTGGTGCTGGAGTCTGCAGCTGCACTGTTCCCCCCTGTGCCCCCAGGCACCCTCTGCACTGCCTCGAGCAGCTGTCCCCAGCCAGCACAAGGGCACCCTGCTCCCCCTGGGCTGGGGAATTTGTCTAATTCCTCCTTATTTACCTGCCGTTCATCTGTCTGTTCCTGGTCTGGCTTAGTCCTCTCTTGGTTCCTCTTCCAGTGAAACAATCATGTTTCTGCACCAAATTTTCTACCAAGGCCTGAAGGCGCGGATCTCCAGCTGGCCCACACTGGTGCTGGGTGAGTGCTGCTGCCCCCTCCTCATCCTCCTCCTCATCCTCCTGCTGCTGCTGCTCCTTCTCCTTCTGCAGCTTCACAGGCATTTGCCAACCAGCAGCAGAACACTGCACACCATGTCCTGGCTTGGTCATGAGCCAGGCCTACACAGCCACAGAGTACAAACCCCAGAGTGACCAAATTCTGGCGTTCCTGGTTCTGCTGGGAGGTGGGGCTGGAGTGTGCACAGGGGGGCTGATGCTGGAGAGCATCGCTGGGTCCCATCAGACCCTCCTGAGCTCAGCAGGGCAGGGCTGGGGGCACGAGGAGCGGGACACCCCGGGCTGCCCTGGGCTCAGGGGCAGGGCTGGGGGCACGGGGAGCGGGACACCCCGGGCTGCCCTGGGCTCAGGGGCAGGGCTGGGGGCACGGGGAGCGGGACACCCCGGGCTGCTCTGGCTCCCAGGAGGGGCTGCAGCAGCCCACCCACCCACCCACGCCCCTGCTCTGCCTGCAGCCGACCTGTTTGACATCCTGCTGCCCATGCTGAACATCTACCAGGAGTTTGTGCGGAACCACCAGTACAGCCTGCAGATCCTGGCGCACTGCAAGCAGAACCGCGACTTCGACAAGCTGCTCAAGCACTACGAGGCCAAGCCCGACTGCGAGGAGAGGACCCTGGAGACCTTCCTCACCTACCCCATGTTCCAGGTGAGCCCTGCGGCCAGGGCTGGCCCCGGGGGGCTGGGGAGGTGGGATGGCAGTGCACACCCTGTGCCCACGGCTGGCACTGTATGGGGGAGGCAGAGCCTAGGTGAGGCTGCCCTGGGGCTGCACCCTGGTGGTCCCACATGGCTCCTGGGCCTGCTTGGGCCACATCTGTGGGGGGACTCTGGGTGCTGCTGGCTCCCCAGTTATCCCACACCTCTGGGGAGGGACAGGGACCCGCAGGGTCCTGGGCACAGCCCCACATTGTGCCCCCTCTTCACTCAGCTTTGGCACAAGGAGCTTTGGAGCTGTAACCACTCAGGCCGGGGTGTCCCCATGCACGGCAGGAGCAGCCCAGGGTGGGCCCTGCTGTTCCCTGTGCCCCATTGACCTCGGCTCTGTCCCTCGTGCTGCAGATCCCCAGGTACATCCTGACCCTGCACGAGCTGCTGGCCCACACGCCCCACGAGCACGTGGAGAGGAACAGCCTGGATTATGCCAAGTCCAAGCTGGAGGAGCTGTCCAGGTGAGAGCTGCTGATCCGTCCCTCGCTGTGGATGGCTCCTGGCTGCTCTGGCCAGGGGCAGGGTTTCCCAGGGCTCCTGGAGGATGGAATGAGGGCTTTGGAGGGTTGGGATGGTGTGAGTGTCTGGTTCTGGCCTCTGCTCAGGGCTGGTGGGGCTGCCCCATGGGAAGGCACCAAGTGCCTCCAAGATCTCCACATGAGCACTTGGGAATGGGCCATAATTCCCTGCTTTCTATCCTCTTTCTCCCCAGCCCGTGGACTGTCCTGGAGTGTTCTGAATGTTGGTGCCAAACCCACCCGCACACTTTAAGTCCTGCAAAGAGTTTCCATCCCTTTTCCCACTCCTCAGAGGGGGCTGGTGAGGGGGGGATCTGTCTGCCTTGAATGTGAATTTCGTGATTTCCAAGCACTCCCATTTCAGTATCTATCAGCCTAGAGGCACAGCCTGGGCAGATGTACAGGTCACCTCCGCAGCTCCTGGCTCAGTCTGGGTGGATCCTGCTGCAATTGCCTTGACATTCCTTCCGTTTTGGTTTTACCTGCTGCAGCCCCACCAAGTGTCCAAAGGGAAAACTTGTGCAGATCCCAGCCCAGCTCTGATTTTCTCCTCTCCATCCTTCAGGATAATGCACGATGAAGTGAGTGAGACTGAAAACATTCGGAAAAACCTGGCAATAGAGCGGATGATCATCGAGGGCTGTGAGATCCTGCTGGACACCAGCCAGACCTTCGTCAGACAAGGTCTGCGTCAGTGCCAGCGTCCCTCCCCTCTGTGGTGAACGTGAGCCCCGTGGCCCTGCCCTGTGTGCTCTGGTGGCCTGCGAAATTTAAAGATATAATTCAGTTATGAGTTTTCGCTGATCAGAGGTACATTAGTTCAGACAGCTCTGGCACTTTTGGGCAGTTTTGTCCCTGCCCTTTCCCATCAGGGCATGGGAGGTGCACCTTGGCTGTTGCTGGTGCCCCACCGGGGAGGCAGCAGCACCACGCTGAGCTCTGGTCCCGGAGTGGGCTGGGGCTGCAGGGTGGGCTGGGGGCAGTTTGGGGGCTCTGGGGCACACAGGGGCTGTGCTGTGTGGCTGTGCCGTGCGGGGCTGACACCATGTGCCCTCAGGCTCCCTGATCCAGGTGCCCATGTCAGAGAAAGGGAAGATCACACAGGGCTGGCTGGGCCGGGGGCAGCTCGGGGGCACACGGGGGCTGTGCTGTGCCACGCGGGGCTGACACGGTGTCCCCGCAGGGTCCCTCATCCAGGTGCCCATGTCGGAGAAAGGGAAGATCACGCGGGGCCGGCTGGGCTCGCTGTCGCTCCGCAAGGAGGGCGAGCGCCAGTGCTTCCTCTTCTCCAAGCACCTCATCATCTGCACCCGCGGCTCCGGGGGCAAGCTGCACCTCACCAAGGTGAGCGGCCGCGGCTGCTGCCGCTCCCTGCCCGTGGGGGGACACAGGGTGGCCCTGCTGCGGCCCCAGCTGGTGACGCAGGGGTCCGGGACCACCTTGGCCTCCCCTGGCACAGCCCCAGGGATGCTGGGCTGGGAGCCTGCGCCCACCTGGATTTATTTCACGTGGTCCTTGTCGGAGCTGAGTCATGGGAGAGATGAGAAACTACACGATCTTGATAAAAGAGTCCACCCTGGTTTGCAGCAGAAACGTTGACAGCCTGTTCTGGAAGAAGCTGGAATCACAGCCCGGGCTGTCTGTAGCACTCCCAGCTCCTCTGGTTGCTCCCTGGGTTCCCGTGTTTATTTGGGGAAGCTTGGCAGTTAATTGAGCAAGAATCTTACAGAAATTGCTTGTTACTGGCATTAAATTATCAGTTTGAAGAATCACAGTCCGTGGCAAAGAGCTGATAATTGCAACAACAGACTTTGGGAAAATTAAATTTAAAGCTCCTATTAAATATTTTATAAACGCATTAGTTGATCAATTTGACAAGGAAAGCCCAGAGATCCCAGCAGGCACAGATCTTTTTCCCAGCGCAAGCAGAGCTGTGTGTGTGTCCCCTCCCCTGGGCTGTCCCCTGGGGACACTGGTCTGTCCCCAGCCCTGGGGTGGGGGACAAGGACAGAGGAGCCCTGGGGGGGTCCCCACTGCTGAACCCTGACTCCCGGCCTGGTGGGGCTGTGCTAGGGATGCCCAGCCCCAGGCTGGCAGGGCTGAGCCCCCTTTGTGCCTGCAGAACGGGGTGATCTCCCTCATCGACTGCACGCTGGTGGAGGAGCCCGAGAGCACCGACGAGGACGGTGGGTGCTGGGGAGCTGGCTGGGTGTGCTGGGAGTTGGCTGGGTGTGCTGGGTGTGCTGGGAGCTGGCTGGGTGTGCTGGGTGTGCTGGGGAGCTGGCTGGGTGTGCTGGGAGCTGGCTGGGTGTGCTGGGTGTGCTGGGGAGCTGGGGGAGCTGCCTGGGTGTGCTGGGTGTGCTGGGGAGCTGGCTGGGTGTGCTGGGTGTGCTGGGAGCTGGCTGGGTGTGCTGGGTGTGCTGGGGAGCTGCCTGGGTGAGCTGGGGAGCTGGGGGAGCTGCCTGGGTGTGCTGGGTGTGCTGGGGGAGCTGCCTGGGTGTGCTGGGTGTGCTGGGGGAGCTGAGCTGGCTGGGTGTGCTTGGGGAGCTGATTAGGTGTGCTTGGGGAGCTGGCTGGGTGTGCTTGGGCAGGGGGTCACATCCAGGTGCCAGCAGAGTCAAGGAATCCATGACTGAGGTTTAATTAGATTAATTAATTACTGTGAACCAAGCAGACCCACACTTAGACCTGACCATTCCTGGGGTAGCCAAAAACCCACAAAAACCTGAATAAACCTTCCTTGAAAGCTGGCTGGGAGAGAGGGGATGGGAAAGGCTTTCCCAATCACTGTGTGGGGTTTTTCTGGTCCAAAGCCAAAACATCAGGACAAGACATTGACCACCTTGACTTCAAAATCGTGGTGGAGCCGAAGGATTCCTCATCTTTCACCGTTATCCTGGTGGCCTCATCCAGGCAGGAGAAGGCTGCATGGACCAGTGACATCAGCCAGGTAGGACCCAGCAGGGAGGGCTGTGGAGCTCTCAGCACGAGGAGCTGCCACGGGGTCCCTGCTGGGTTGGGGCACACAGGTAACATGGGGTTTGCTGTGTGCCCATGGCCCCACTGCCCACCCTGAGCCTGGGTTTGCACCCTGGAGCTTTCCTGGCGCCCCTGGGGTGTGGGGACCTGCAGGGAGCAGGGATGTCACTGCTCTCAGGAACATCCAGCCCTGAGTTCCTCCACCTGCTGCCCGTGTCTCTCCAGTGCGTGGACAACATCCGCTGCAACGGGCTGATGATGAACGCCTTCGAGGAGAACTCCAAGGTCACCGTGCCCCAGATGATCAAGTGAGTGTGCAGGGCCAGGACGCGGCTCCTGGGGCAGCCCAACGCTGCCAGGAGCCTCGGGAGCACGGGGACCCCCTGGGACCCCACCCGTGTGCTCCCTGGGCTCTCCCAGTGTGGTGATTAGCAGCGTTAATTGGCTGCTGAGGGATTTGTGCCTGCTGGATGGGTGGGAATGCCAAGGGGGAGAGTTCAGGGAAAAATAACAATAGTAAAGAAGGGGTAAAAGTGCCAGAAGGGAGGGGCAGGGAGGCTGTCCTCCCTGTAGGTCCTGGGGTGCAAAGGCTGTGCTGGGACATGTGTGGGATGAGGGGGGCTGTTTCCAGCCAGGGGGACAGGGCAGCACGGGGCATTCCTGCCCCATTCCCTGCTGCCAGACAGGGGAGAGGGCTTGGCTTGTGTGCACCTGGGGATGGCCCATCCACATGCCTCTGCCTGCTGAGCACTCCACCATGCCAGGAGCCCATTCCAGGAGCCCATTCCAGGGTGTGGGTTCCTGGGCTTTCCCCTGGGAGCACTCCCACCCGTGTTTCCCATGGGGACACCCATAGGAACAGGGCTCCCTCCTGCACTGCTTCCCATGGTCTCTTGGTTTCGTTCCAGGCTGGAGCCACAGAAATCTCGTTTCTCTGCAGGTCTGATGCCAGCTTGTATTGTGATGATGTTGACATTAGGTTCAGTAAAACGATGAATTCCTGCAAGGTCCTGCAGATCCGCTATGCCAGCGTGGAGCGGCTGCTGGAGAGGCTGACGGACCTGCGCTTCCTGAGCATCGACTTCCTCAACACCTTCCTGCACTCCTACCGCGTCTTCACCACCGCCCTCGTCGTGCTCGACAAGCTCATCACCATCTACAAGAAGCCCATCAGTGCCATCCCTGCACGGTGAGGCTGCAGAGGGACCTGTCCTGTCCCTGCTGCCACGCTGGGACTGTCACGGCTCCCCGTGAGCTGTGATAACCCCAGACAGGGGAGGGAGATGAATCCAAGCTCTGTGGGTGCCCCCGCTCCTGAGAGGGCCAGGAGCTGGCCATGGGGTGGAGTTGGCTCTGCTGCTGTGCCTGGGGGATGCCCTGGGGTCCCAGTGCTGCCCACAGGGTGGAGGGGCTCACGTTGGCTCTGCTGCTGTGCACCCTGGTGTCCCAGTGCCATGGGGGGTTCCCTACGGCCTCAGCCTGTCTGTGTCCCTGCCAGGTCGCTGGAGCTGCTGTTTGCAAACAGCCAGAACAACAAGCTGCTCTACGGGGAGCCCCCCAAGTCACCCCGGGCCAACCGCAAGTTCTCGTCGCCGCCGCCGCTGTCGCTGAGCAAGTCATCGTCACCCAGCCGGCGCAGGAAGCTGTCCCTCAACATCCCCATCATCACCGGCGGCAAGGCGCTCGACCTGGCCGCGCTCAGCTGCTCCTCCAACGGCTACGCCGGCGTCTACTCCTCCATGGCCCCCTTCAGCAAGACCACGCTGGACATCAACAAGCTCTACGTGTCCAGCGCCTATCCCAACAAGATCCCCGACGAGGGAGAAGCGGCCGCGGAGAAGCAGGAGGAGTCCCTGCAGGGCAAGCAGAGTGAGTCCCTGTGGGTTTGGGCTCTGGCACTCAGGGGCTGGTTTAGGTGCACGCACAGAGAGCTCCAGCCTCCTGAAAACTCAGTAATTTTTAATAACAAAGCAAAAAAATCCACCCAAATCCCTCCCCCTCAAGGAAAAAACCCGTTCCAAAGTATCCCACAGAAACGGCAGAGCTCTGTACCTTTCCCATACATGGTGGCCACATCCCAAGCTGGAATGGGGCAGACTTGAGGAAAATGGGGAAGAACTAAAAGGCGGCTGTGTTTGTGTGCAGTGGGTGTAAAGGGGTTCCCTGTCCTCCCAGGCTCAGAGGTGTCTGTCAGGGAAGAGTCGGACACAGATCCCAACCACAGCGATGAAGCAGAAGCTGAAGCTTCCCCAACGAAATCTCCAACGACTCCCAAGTCCGTCAAGTGCAAAAATTCATCAGGTAACGCGTGAGGTCTGGGGGTGCCCGTGTCTTGGGGGGCTGGCACCTGCGGGGCCCTGTCTGGCAGCAGCGGTGCCCACAGGGGTGTTGGATTTCCTCTCCCGCAGATTTCTCGCTGTTTTCCTACAACAATGGCATGGTGATGACGTCCTGCCGGGACCTGGACAGCACCCGCAGCGCCCTGTCTGCCACCTCCGCCTTCGCCATCGCCACGGCGGGGGCCAACGAGGGCACCCCCACCAAGGAGAAGTACCGCAGGATGTCCCTGGCCAGCGCAGGTACCTGCCCCAGGGACTGCCTCTGGAAGCCACCACAGGGGTTTCCCTGCAGGCACACTGTGGGCTGGGGGAGCCCAGAGCCCCCAGAGCCTGCTCCAGCTGTGCCCTGGGCTTGGCACTGCCCAAGGGCTGTGCAGCTCCCCGGGTGTCCCCCTGCCTGCTGACACAGGGAGGGGGTGCTCCTCTGGCAGCCCCAGAGGGGCTGTGAGCCCTTCCCGAGGGGCTGTGCCGTGCTGAGGGCTCCCGGCAGTTTCAGGGTTCCCGACGGACCAGCGGAACGGGGACAAGGAGTTTGTGATCCGCAGAGCCGCCACCAACCGCGTGCTGAACGTGCTGCGGCACTGGGTGTCCAAGCACTCCCAGGTGGGCAGCGCCGCCTTCCCCGCTCCCTCCCGCCCGCCGGCGTGCTGGGCAGCTCAGCCAGCACTGCTGAGAGGCCAGTCTGGCCCTGAGGGCCTGATGGAGCAGTGCAGATGGTGAGGGGCAGGGAGCTGGGGCAGGGAACAGGGGGCACATCAGGGTTTGCACAGCTGGGGTGCAGAGGAGGGGAGCTGGGCCTGCCAGCACCCCTGGCTGGTGCAGAGCAGGGGGAGTCTGGGTTTGGTGCCTGTTGGGATGCTCAGGATGGGGTCAGGGCACCCCTGGCTGGTGCAGAGCAGGGGGAGTCTGGGTTTGGTCCCTGTTGGGATGCCCAGGATGGGGTCAGGGGTGCAGGGCAGGGGGAGTCTGGGTTTGGTCCCTGTTGGGATGCCCAGGATGGGGTCGGGGCACTGGGAGCTGTCCCTGCTGTGCTGTCCCTCCTGCACTGGTGACGGGGCAGTGGCCCAGTGCCATACTGGTTCTCACTGGGAACACACAGCTCTCCCAGGCTGGGGATGCTGATGCAATGGGACTGAGCGAGCCTGCTGCCCTCCCGTGCTGGGACTGTGCTGGAAGAGGCAGCCCCTTGCCCAGCCGGGAAGGAAGCAGCTCTGCTGGGGTCAGGGTCACTCCAGCACAGTAATTAATCCCAGGCTGTGCTGGCCTTGGCAGGACTTTGAGACCAACGAGGAGCTGAAGTTCCGGGTGATTGGCTTCCTGGAGGAGGTGATCCACGACCCCGAGCTCCTGACGCAGGAGAGGAAGGCAGCTGCCAACATCATCAGGTGAGGGGCCGCAGGTTTTGTGCCAGGCTTGCCCTGGCACTGCCAGCTGCTGGCTGCTCCTGCTGTCACCCGGGAGCACAGCAGGCTCAGCAGGGGCTGGGAGCAGCCAGGGAGGAAGATGAGGAGGAGGCTGGCTGCTCTCAGCCTCAGGGCAGGGCGGGTGTGAGCCCCTTGGTGCCCTGCTGAGGTTCAGTGCTGAGCCCAGAGGGTGCTGGCCCTGCTGCTGCCGGGTGCTGGTGTGGCACCGTGGCTCCCAGGCTGTGCTGGGCAGGGCTGGGCTGGCACTCAGGGTGTGCCCACCCCACACTGAGGGCAGGACACTTGTCTTGCAACAGGGCTGACACTTGTGGGGACACTGGCCACGGCTAAGGAGTGTTTTTCTCTGTAAAATGAGGAATGGCACTGAGGGGGTCTCCTGACACACAGGCTGAGTGTTCCTCGGGGCTGTGCTGTCCTGCTGGAGCTGTGTGGGTCTGGTGCTCTCCCAGCTGCAGAAATCCTCTCTTTCTGTGCCACAGGACCTTGACGCAGGAGGATCCAGGAGACAACCAGATAACCCTGGAGGAGGTGGTGCAGATGGTAAATGCTCCTTCCTTCTCTCCCTGCCTGCCCCTGGTGCCTTGGGGTGGTGGAAGGGGAGCAGCCAAAGGTCCTGGTGCTCACTCAGGGCAGAGCCAGCCCCCAGGGGCAGTGCCAGGGGTGCAGCTGCACAGCAGGAAAGGCTTTCTGGGAGGGGCCAGCTGTGAGCACAGCTGGATCTGTTACGGGCAGAGGCAGCACCAGCCAGCCCACAGGCACATCTTTCCCCCGCAGTCAGCAGAATGGCTGCAGAGGGCACAGAGACACCTGCCTGCTGCTGCCTGTGCCCCAGGGGCTCCCATCGTGCCCCCAAAGCCGTTCCAGTTCCAAGTGAGGGGCTCTGGCTCAGCCAGCATCACCGCTGCTCCCTGGAAAAGGAGCCCTGGGAATGTGCATGGATTTAGAGCCCCCAGGGTGGCTGCAGAGCGCTTGCTGCCCTTCTGCACTGAAAAAACCCAACCAAACCTGTTCCCAGAAGAACACAAGAGCCACTTGAAACCGGCCTGGAGCACCTGAAACACCCACGACTCTGTCCCCTGGCTCTGCTGGTGCCTTCTGGAGGGGGCACTCCCTCCTGGCCTTTGTCTGAGCTGTTCCCATAACTGCGTGTTCTGGAAACTTCCTCTGAAGAGGAGAGGACAGCAGAGCCCTGAGGCTTTGCCCTGCCCCTCAGGCTGGGCAGCAGCACCTGCAGTCCAAGGGTGCTGGGACGTGAGGGTGCCCTGGGCTTTGGGGCGCACATCACGAGCGGGGGGCTGCGTTGTTTGCTGGAGCTTTCCCAAGCCCTGTCCCAAGGGATTGTGCAAGGGGCTCTTGCCCTGTGCTGTGCTCTTGTGTGTGTGTGTGTTGATCCTGGGGGGTTCTCCTGTGTCACCAGGGCAGTTTGGTGTTTATTTGGGCGGGATGCCAGTGAGGTTTGTTGTTTTTGGTGGCTGATCTCCTCCCTGAAGGCAGCAGGGTGGAGCTGCTGCAGGGAGTGGCACCAGCCCCTGGTGGTGTTGCAGGGAATGCACCGGCCCCTGCTGGCACCAGCCCCTGGTGGTGTTGCAGGGAATGCACCAGCCCCTGGTGGTGTTGCAGGGAATGCACCGGCCCCTGCTGGCACCAGCCCCTGGTGGTGTTGCAGGGAATGCACCAGCCCCTGGTGGTGTTGCAGGGAATGCACCGGCCCCTGGTGGCACCAGCCCCTGGTGGTGTTGCAGGAGTGGCACCAGCCCCATCCAAGCCCTGTTTGTGGGGTGTTGTGGGGGGTGTTGGGTGGCCCTGAGCTGTGCCCAAGGACTGGTCTCAGTGACCGTGTCTCTGGGATGGTTTAGGACAGTCACCAGTGGCTCCGTGCAGTCTGAACCTCAGGCCTTGGCTCCATGTGGGGGCACCCTGAGCCCTGCAGGGCTGCTTGGCCAGAGCCAGGCAGTGGGACAGGGCCCATCCCTGCTCCCCTGCTTTCCTGGAATCCCTTGGCAGGCCCACCTTGCCCTCCTGGGCAGGGCAGCAATGCTCCAGCTGGGATCCCTGGCTGCTTTGCTAATTAAACAGCCAAAGGCTGCATGATTAAATCCCCGGGGATCTCGAGGCTGGCAGGAGCACGGTGTGGGCTGGGGTGCCTCTGGAGCACTGCACACCCAGCTCTGCTGGGGAAAGCCTTTGCCTGGCAGCCTGGCTTGGCTCTGGGTCTCTGTCCATGGTGTGAGGGATTCTCTCTGAGCTCCTGCCTGCTGAGCCCCACTGTTCTCTGTCCCACAGGCTGAGGGTGTCAAAGCAGAGCCCTTTGAGAACCATTCAGCCTTGGAGATCGCAGAACAGCTGACGCTGCTGGACCACCTGGTCTTCAAGAAGATCCCATATGAGTGAGTGATCCTGTGGGTCAGGAAAGGCGGCTCTGGTCACCCAGGGCCCCATGGGCAGCCTGGCTGGGCTGACCCCAGACAGTGCAGAGCCTTCCTGGGCTTTGCCAGTAGCCCAGCCCTGGCTCAAGGGCAGATTTGGAGCCCTGTGGCTTCTCTGCTTTTGTGGGATGTCCCAAGGTAATCGGCTCAGGGACACCCTCCCACAACCAGCACACCTCCAGCCACATCCACGGTCCCTTTCCAGCAGTGTGGGGCAGACCCCGGGATCTCCATCCTGTGCAGAGGCAGTGGAGCTTGCAGGGCTTGGACATCCCACAAAACTGGTGAATAAAAGTTGACCTGAGCACTGTGGTTTGCAGGGAATTCTTTGGGCAAGGCTGGATGAAGCTGGAGAAGAACGAGAGGACTCCATACATCATGAAGAACACAAAGCACTTCAATGATGTAGGTGCAGCTGCAGGGCACAGGCGGGTGGGCACGGGGGAGGCAGCTCAGCCCCCTGCCCAGGGCTGGGTGAGGGAGGGTCACCTACCCCATGGCTCTGCCTGCTCCACGGGCTGTCCCTGCCCCACAGGCCCTGCGTGCCCCACAGGCCCTGTGTGCCCCACGGGCTGTCCCTGCCCCACAGGCCCTGCGTGCCCCACAGGCCCTGTGTGCCCCACGGGCAGTCCCTGCCCCGCAGGCCCTGCATGCCCCACAGGCCCTGCGTGCCCCACGGGCTGTCCCTGCCCCGCAGGCCCTGCCTGTCCCACGGGCTGTCCCTGCCCCACAGGCCCTGCATGCCCCACGGGCTGTCCCTGCCCCGCAGGCCCTGCGTGCCCCACGGGCCCCGGGCAGCCGGTGCAGGTGGAGCCAGTCCTGGTGCAGCTGCTGCTGGTGGGGCTGCAGCAGCACAGGGAGATCTCACACTGCTGTGAGGCTGGGGTGTCCAGAGCCACGCTGAGGGCCGGGCTGGGGTGCCCAGAGCCATGCTGAGGGCCGGGCTGGGGTGCCCAGAGCCACGCTGAGGGCTGGGATGGGGTGCCCAGAGCCATGCTGAGGGCCGGGGTGCCCAGAGCCACGCTGAGGGCCGGGGTGCCCAGAGCCACGCTGAGGGCCGGGCTGGGGTGCCCAGAGCCATGCTGAGGGCTGGGCTGGGGTGCCCAGAGCCACGCTGAGGGCCGGGCTGGGGTGCCCAGAGCCACGCTGAGGGCCGGGCTGGGGCCGTGTCTCCCCAAGGTCAGCAACCTGATCGCCTCGGAGATCATCCGCAACGAGGACATCGCGGCGCGCGCCAGCGCCATCGAGAAGTGGGTGGCCGTGGCCGACATCTGCCGCTGCCTGCACAACTACAACGCCGTGCTGGAGATCACCTCCTCCCTCAACCGCAGTGCCATCTTCCGCCTCAAGAAAACGTGGCTCAAGGTCTCCAAGCAGGTAGGCCGGCCCGTCCGGGGAGCTGGGCTTGCTGCGGGGCGTTGGGGCAGGGGCAGGAGTTAGGAAACGGGGAGAAGGGTTTCAGGTTGTTCTCGGGAGGGAGGTGGTGGGTGGACAGGCAGAGCCTGCCTTGGAGTCAGGTTTATTCATGGAATTGTTTGGGTTAGAAAAGCTCTCTGAGACTGCGCAAGTCCAGCTGTTCCTTCAGCACTGCCAAGGCCACCACTAACCCCTGTCCCCAAGTGCCACATCCACGTAGCTTTTCACTCCCTCCACTGACTCCACCACTGCCCTGGGCAGCTGTGCCAGGGCTGGGCAGCCATTACGAAATTTTCCTAGTATTAAATCTAAATCTCTCCTGACACAACTCCTCTCCCCTTGTCTCGTCACTAATTACCTGTGAGAAGACACTGTCCCCACCTGCAAGACAGAGGTGCAGTTAAAGCTCTCTGAGCTGGCACCACTGCGGGCTCCCAGCAGCCAGGAGCAGTAATTTTTGCTATAAAATGACAAACCTGTGAATGAAAACAGGCGAGGGCAGAGGTGGGAGCAGGGGACGCAGCGAGTGCACAGCCTGCTCACCTGCAGCCAGGTGTGACAGCCAGGGCACGCTGCACCTGTGGAGGTGCAGGTGGGGTGAGGTGCCCTGGGCAGGGTGGGCTGGAATTGCCCCCGTGTCTCTGCAGGCTCCCCCCCAGCCACAGGGAGTGGGGGTTCTCCCGGGCCCCTGCCAGCAGCACTCTGGTTTCTTGCAGACCAAGGCTCTGATTGATAAGCTCCAGAAGCTGGTGTCGTCGGAGGGCAGGTTCAAGAACCTGAGGGAGGCACTGAAAAAGTGAGTGAGTGGTGCTTCTCCTCCTGCCCCAGGGCTGCTCTGGGGCCTGCAGGGCGGGGGGAGCTGAGCTCTGCTCCCAGGGCTGCTCAGAGCCTGCACTGAAGGCTGCCCTGTGGAGCCAGCACAGTGCCTGGCAGCGATCCCCAGGACTGAGCTGCTCCTTTGGGCAGCATGGGGAAACATGGGAATAAAAGGGACTGCAAAGGGGAAAATCACTGCCAGGCACCAGAGAACAATTTTCCCCATCACTGTCACAGAATCATCAAATCCCAGAATGGTTTAGGTTGGAAGGGACCTTAAAGCTCATCCTGTTCCATTCATCTCTGTGGGCAGGGCCCCCTTCTACTAGACCAGGTTGCCCATGGAAGCTTCTAAAGGTCTTCCTGACCCTCTGTGTTGTCAAAGCTGCCCCAGCTCATCTCCTGCTCATCTCCCATGGCTTTGTGAGGGGCACAGCCACGGGTCCTGCCTGTCCTGCTGTGCTGGTGGGGATGAGGCCCAGGACACCAGGAGCCTTCCCTGGGAGAGCCCTCCTATATCAGAGAGAATCCTTCCACCTCTGCTGCACAACTGCAGAGCTGTTCCCTTCTCCCCTGCCCTGCCCCAAGCTCCAAAGGGAGGGAGTTTTGCTCCTCATTCGTTTCTGGTTCACTCCTGAAGTTGTGACCCCCCGTGTGTCCCCTACCTGGGCATGTACCTGACGGACCTGGCCTTCATCGAGGAGGGCACCCCCAACTACACCGAGGATGGCCTGGTGAACTTCTCCAAAATGAGGATGGTGAGTGCTCCAGGGCTGCGCTGGGGTGATGTGGCTGTGGCCAGGTCTGCGTCCCCTCAGCCTCCACCTGCACAGCACCAGGAGGCCACACATGTCCCCTGCACACACCTGGGGCTGGTCCCGGTGTCTGGAAGGGACAAAAGGCCTCTGCACTGTGCTGTGCTGGGTGCCCCTGCCCTCCTGGGCACTGGGCTGGGTTCTCTGGGTGATGGCTGAGCCATGAGCACCTCCTGTGTTTTATCCCTGCACAGATCTCACACATCATAAGGGAGATCCGCCAGTTCCAGCAAACCTCCTACAAGATCGAGCACCAGCCCAAGGTACAGCCCTGTCCCAGAGCCTCGGGCAGGCTCTGCCCCTCATCTCCCTCTTCCATCACAGCAGCTAAGCCTTCTAACCTGGCAGCTCCCTGCTGGAGTCTGTTGGGGGGATCAGGGGATGGAGGGAGGCTGTGGGGGCTCAGCAGGCTCCCCCGTGGGCCCCAGGCAGCTGCTGCAGAGGGCAGCACCGATGGGCAGGCCCGGAGCGCTCAGGGGGGCACCCGGACACGCTGAGGAGCAGCGGTGTAGGGGCAGCACGCCCTCCGCAGGGAGCAGGGTCCCCTGCCGCCCCACTGCCAGCACCAGCCACCCTCTGCCCGTGCCGGCCCCACCATGAGACAGCTCTCACCCTCCCCTGCGGCAGCGTTGGGTGTCCCCGCTGTCGGGCTGTGCCCTCCCGGCCGCTCACGGCCCGCTCCGTCCCCAGGTGACGCAGTACCTGCTGGACCAGTCGGGAGTGATGGACGAGGAGTCCCTGTACGAAGCTTCTCTGCGGATAGAGCCCAAGCTGCCTTCGTGAGCGGCGCGGCCGCCGGACTCTCGCTGTACCCCTGTACATAGCCCCGCTCCACGGGCGCCCTGGAGCGACCCCCGTCCGTGCTTCCCCCGCCCCGGCCCGGCCCGGTCCGGCCCCGGCCCGCCGCGCTCGTGTAGGATTCCCCGCCCCGCCACGGTTTAACGCGCCGACACTTCGCTGGAGTCCCGGGCTCTTTTCCATGATGTTACTTTTGTCATTTGTTCCTCTTGGGGGGCTGGTGGTCGGGCAGGCGAGTTCCCGTGGGGCAGGTGAGTCCCTGTGGGGCAGGTGAGTCCCTGTGGGGCAGGTGAGCTCTGTGTCCCCGCGGGGCAGGTGAGTCCCCGTGGTGCAGGTGAGCCCTGTGTCCCCGTGGAGCAGGTGAGCCCCGTGTCCCCGTGGGGCAGGTGAGTCCCTGTGGGGCAGGTGAGCTCTGTGTCCCCGTGGGGCAGGTGAGTCCCTGTGGGGCAGGTGAGCCCTGTGTCCCCATGGAGCAGGTGAGCCCCGTGTCCCCGTGGGGCAGGTGAGTCCCTGTGGTGCAGGTGAGCCCCGTGTCCCCGCAGGGCTCTGGGGCAGCACAGAGCAGCTCTCCCTCGGGCAGTGCTGGCGGTTACATCCCAACTCTGTAAGGTGGCAGAAGGGAGCGCATTAAAGGTTGTCCCTCGGTGTGAGCTGCCCTCTGTGTGTGTGCCGCCCTGGTGCTGGCCGGGCACGGGGGGCCCCGGCTGCTGCCCTGGTGCCCCCGAAGCTGGGAAGATGGAAGCATCCCCTCGCCTCTCCTCTCCTCGCTGCATCCGGCTCCTGTTGATATGCTGTAGATCCGTGCCCTTGTGCCCACTCTGAGTACCATGACGTAGAGTTAGAGATGACGAGTGTTTTTATTACATCTACTGTAATCCTGGCTAACCACCCGCTAGCAGGATATAGTAATGTAGTGCTTATTCTGTGAATAGTACCTGGGTTTTTTACATTGTACAGTCCCTGACACGGTTCCCCGGCAGTGGCAGGCATGCTCCACTCACACAACACTTGCTGTAAGCAATACCTCGTGGTATGGGAATTCTCTTTCAAGCCCTAAAACTATTTCAACTTACAGCTTGTTTGGGAAAAAAAAAAGATATTTCCATTTTTTTTGTAAAAATATATGTTTCCTGATTACCTCTTGCTAATAAATCTATTCTATCTCAGGGTGAACCGGGGTTTGTGATAGTTTTACGGGCGGGATAACGCCGGACCCGCCGGGCCGCGGGCCACGCCCAGTGCCGGTGCCCCGCCCAGTGCCCCGCCCAGAGCCGGTGCCCCGCCCAGTGCCACGCCCACCCAATGTCCCGCCCCTTGTCCCGCCCCCTGGCAGCGGCTCGACGCATTTCGGCCCCGTTCGGCCGCGCTCGGCTCGGCGCGGTTGGGCTCCGCTGCGTCCCGCCCGTCCCGGTTCGGCCCGGCGCGGTTCGGCCATGGGCTGGCCCGTGCTGCTGAGCGCGGCCGCGCTGCTGGCCGCCGCCGCCGCCGCCTGGGAGCCCTCGGCCGAAGGTACGGGGGCACCGGGAGGGCAGGAGGCGGCTTGGCACGGCCCGGCCCGGCTCGGCTCGGCTCGGCTCGGTTCGGGCCGGCCCCCGGTGCGGCAGAGCCGTGGCGGTGCCGCTGACGGGCCCGTTCTCTCCCGCAGAGGAGCAGCTGTTCAAGGCCTGGATGCTGCAGGTGAGCTCGGGGCCGGGCCGGGCCGGGCCGGGCCGGGTTCGGGGCCCTGACGTGCCGGTTCCCCGCAGAACGAGCGGCGCTACGGCCCCGAGGAGTACCCGCGGCGGCTGCGCATCTTCCTGGGCAACAAACGGCGCGTGGAGGAGCACAACGCCGGCAACCACAGCTTCCAGAGTAGGAGCCCGAGCCCCGAGCCCGCCCGGCCGCGGCCGGCCCTGGGCAGCCCCCATCGCTGAGCACAGTGTCCCCTGTTCCTCCCTCTAGTGGGCCTCAACCAGTTCTCGGATCTGACCTTCGCGGAGTTCAAAAAGCTCTACCTGTGGAGTGAGCCGCAGGTAAATGCTGGCTGGCAGGGAAGGAGGGGGTGCAGTGCACCTGTGAGGGGTTCTGCATGGCCTGAACCCCTGAGAGGGGGTTCTGCAGTGCCCTGCATCCCCATGAGGGGGTTCTGCAGTGATCTGCACCCCTGAGAGGGGGTTCTGCAGTGCCCTGCATCCCCATGAGGGGGTTCTGCAGTGACCTGCACCAGTGTGAGGGGGTTCTGCATGACCCACACCCGCTGCAGGGCCAGCGCCCCTCACTGTGCTGCCTGCAGTCCCCTGTGCTCAGGTCACATCCTGTGCCACCAGCACAGGGCAAGAGCCAGGTGAACCCTGTTCCCCACCTTCATGGCTTTTAGTGCCTTGCCCCTGACTCCAGCCCAGCTGTCTGTTCTGCTGTCAGCTCCCTGAGCAGCCGGGGCACTGCAGCCAGGGGTGCAGGGGTGCAGGCTGGCAGTGCTCCCTGCTGCAGCGGCCTGTGTGTGGGCTGGTCACCCGGGCAGGGTGGCTGTCGTGCCCCCCTGGCCTGGCGGCTCACCACAGCCCTTTGCCTGCCTGCAGAACTGCTCAGCCACCAAGGGGAACCTCCTGCGCAGCTCTGGGCCACATCCCGACTCCATCGACTGGAGGAAGAAGGGGAATTTCGTGACGCCCGTGAAAAACCAGGTGAGGGGTGTGTGACACGGCCAGAGGGGGCTGATGGCTGCGGGCAGGTGCCGTGCCCGAGGAGCAGGGCTGGGTGCCTGTGCCAGGGGAGCTCCCCCGGACCTGTGCCATGCCTGGGGCTGAGCTGAAGGCCAGGCCCAGCTGCCAGCACGGAGTGGAGGCTCTGCACTGCTGCCATGTCCCCCTGCCCGTGTTTTGGGGAGCCTGGTGAGCCTGCAGCACCTCCTGGAGCAGTTCCTCTCCTGTTCCTCGTGTAGGGTCCCTGCGGGAGCTGCTGGACCTTTTCCACCACGGGCTGTTTGGAGTCTGCTATTGCCATTGCCACGGGAAAGCTGCTCTCTCTGGTGAGAGGTGTTCTGGCTCAGAGCCCTTTGGGGAGCAGGATGAGTCAGAGGGGCTGGAGGCTGCTGGGAGAGGTGTGGGGACAGAAGCTGTGCCTGGCCCTGCCAGCCAGCCTCGCTGCAGGCAGCACATTGGGACATGTTGGTTTTTCAGCTCCTGGGGGATTTATATTCCTGAAGAACTAGAAAGACAGTAGCCACTTACACAACTTAGCAGAATAACCGAGGGCTGGGTGTGTTAAAAACAAACCTGACCTTTGGAAAACATCTCAGCCAGTGCTTCTGGGGGGATGGATTCCTGGCAGGCATGAGGAGGAATGCCTCTGGCAGCCAGGGCACCCCAGGCTGCTGCTCCAGGTCTTCCTTGTCTGCCTCCCTGGGACATGGAGCCATTTCCAGGGACTCCCAGGAGTAAAGCAGTGCTGTGGTGGTGGTTGCAGCCAGCTGCACAGATAAAGCAGCTCTCAGTTCCTGCTGTGCAGTTGCTTTCTGAGTCACTGACTCTGAGCACAGGTGTGGGACAATCGCTGACTCAAAACTGTCAAGCACTGACTCAAAACCCTTCTCTGCAGGCAGAGCAGCAGTTGGTTGATTGCGCCCAGGCCTTCAACAACCATGGCTGCAGTGGGTAAGTCACAGAGGGTCAGAGAGGGCAGAAATTAGAGAATCTTATATCCTGTGATGGACAACCTTCCTCCAGATCTAGGGTCAGGCTCCTTCCACATTATGGAATGGCTTTTGTCTTCCCACGGCTGCAATGTGTCAGGGAAAGCAACTTTAGATTTGGCTGGTTATTTTAATTTCACCCTCTGTAGAGGTTAGGATGTTTCACTAAATCTCCAGCATTTCCCAACCTCTGCTGTTCCTCTTCTGTTGGTTTTTATCTGAGGGATTTTCACACAGCAGCTGTAGGCTGGGCTCTGGTGGGCCCTGGGGCAGCAAGGGGACTTCTGGCTATTGTTCTGCCCCGAGTCACGCGCGTCTCGTGGCACCCTGAAGAACCCATAGAAACTTTAACTTCCTCTTTGGGAAGTTCCTCCTGGCCTTGCTAGAGAAGGCAGAGAGTAGAGCTTTCTGACAGCTTCTGTTTTCTGTGAGATAAGCTGTCCTGGAGGGACGCTCAGAGCTGAGCAAAGCCACTCTTGGTGCTTTTTATCTCTTGCGACTCCTCCTTAGGCGTTTCCACATCAGCACTTCTGATCATCTCTCTTTTCTTCCCTCCTGAGATGTGCTTCTGGAAGGTGGCCAGGGAAGGGAGCGGCTGCTTGCTGGAGCTGTGGGTGTCTCAATGTCCCCCAGCCAGGCTGGGCAGAGGGCACCAAAAAACACCTTTCATTTAGTATGTGAGGCTGGTGCTGTGTGGGCAGCTGACCTCACACCCTCAGGGCTCCTGGTGCTTCTCTCCAGGGATCTGGCAGCTGGAGAATGACCATGCCAGGCAGCCCAGGCAGGGAGATGCTGCAGGCACAGACACTGCCCCTCCCTGGCTGGTGGGATTGGGCTGCACAGGGGGGAATGTCGATGGCTTTGCTCTGCAGAGGCTGCAGCATTACCGAGTTCATCATTACCATCCTAATTAACTGTTAGCATCCTAACGGAGCCGTGTTGTCTCGCAGGGGCCTGCCCAGCCAAGCCTTCGAGTACATCCTGTACAACAAGGGGCTCATGGGGGAGGACAGCTACCCCTACCGGGCCAAGGTACTGCAGCATGGCCCCGGCCTCCACCGTGGGGGCACAGCAGGGCTGGCACAGCCCCCACAGCGCCTCTCTGTCCCCACAGAACGGCACCTGCAAGTTCCAGCCCGAGAAAGCCATCGCCTTTGTCAAGGACGTGATCAATATCACACAGGTGAGGCCCCGAGGGCTGAGATTCCAGACTGCCAGGGCTGTGCCAAGGGGAGGCGCTGGGGTGCCCAAGGTGTGCTGGGCTCACAGCTGCAGCTGCAGCCTGTGTGCTCCTGGAGAGACGGAGCTGCTGGGCACACTCCTGCTGTCCTGCACACCTTTGGAAGTGGCACCAAGGAGGTGCTGGAGCCAAAACGCAGGCCCTGGGTTCCTGCCTGCTTCCCTGGGGTGCCCCTCCAGGCTGGCACAGAGTGCCGGTTCTCCTGTTGCAGCTCAGCACTGGATTCCTTGTCCTGCAGCACAGCAGGGTTGTCCATCCCCCGTGCCCTGGCCAGCACAGCCAGGAGAGGATGAGGATGATGAGGTGATGACCCCGGATCCTCTCTTGCAGTATGACGAGGACGGCATGGTGGAAGCTGTGGGGAAGCACAACCCAGTGAGCTTTGCCTTTGAGGTGACCAGTGACTTCATGCACTACAGGAAAGGAGTGTATTCCAAGTGAGTGTGCCCCCCATTTGGTGAGGTGAGGGCAAGGGGAGCAGGTAGGGCTGGAGTCACGTGCGTCCCTGTTTATCCTGCTTCGTGCAGGAACACTGCGCTGCGTTCTCACACTTCTTTTAAGTAGAAAATAGAAAAAAAAGAGTAAACAGAGCCTTGATGTACTGGTTCCTGAGGGGATGAGGGTGCAGCACAGGGAGGAGGGCTGCAGGCTAGGAACCTGTCCGGCCTGGAGACCAGGTTGTGGTGGAAGGAAGGTCAGCGAGTCAGGCAGCTCGGGGCACTCTGCAGCTCCCCACGGGGTTGGGGCTGTCCCAGCAGGGGAAAGTGTGTGTTTGGAGAAACAGAAACATATTTGGGAGTCATGAACCCTCAGTCATGCAGAACTGCAGGCAAAGTGCAAGGGGGAGGCTGAGCCTGGGGGATCTGCCCCAGGAGCTCTCAGGAAGGAGCCGGTGGTGATTCCAGAGGCTTTGCTGGGCCAAGAGCCAGTGATGCCACAGGTCAGTGCCAGCCCTGGGCAGGTGTGAGCTGTGAGGGCAGGGACGTGGTCAGAGGAACACGCCAGCAGCAGTTATCCCGTGGAATTGCAGTCTAAGGTGGATTTGAAGTCAGAGTGCACGGAATAATTGATGCTCCAGTGCTTTCAGCACAGAGCAGCTGTTAACAGATCAAAAAAAAGAAAATCTGAGGTGGATTATTGATCTTTTCCTGTGATGCAGTTTGAAAATGTTTAAAAATAGATGCTCTTGAGATGGGAGCATGTAGCATGAGCTGTCTTGTTTCACACCACAGGCAGCAGCTTTCAGCAAGTGCAGTTTAAAGGTTGAAAATTTAGAGGAAACACATATTTAGACCCACGAGTTTGCTGTTCCTGTGCAAAACATGAAGCAGTGCCCTTGAATTTCAGGGCAGTACAAACCAGCCCTGGGAGGCACTAAGAGCTGCTGGTTCCAGTTGGGAAAGTTCCTTTGCCCTGTAGCTCATCTTGGTGGCCAGGAGCTCAGAAGTGCACGGATCGCCTAACTCCAGATACGGCTGGTAGTTTCAGAGTGGAGAAACAGAGCAGTGTCTCCTTTGTGTGCCTGCCCTCCCTCCTGTGCAGAGCTGGGAGTCAGAGCGTCCCCAGCTGTGTGTGCAGTGTGGTCAGCACTGCTGCCTGAGCGGTCCCTGGCCAATGCAGGCCGCCGCTCAGAGCCCCCGCACTGTCTCCCTGCAGCCCCCGCTGCGAGCACACCCCCGACAAGGTGAACCACGCCGTGCTGGCCGTGGGCTACGGGCAGGAGGACGGCACTCCCTACTGGATCGTCAAGAACTCCTGGGGCCGCCTGTGGGGCATGCAGGGGTAAGGCCGTGGGGCCGGGCACACGCCCTGCCTGCTGGGGGGCACCCACCTCAGCCCCTGCCCGCCCCGAGCCCCGCAGTGAGCTCTGGCAGCCGGGAGGGTGTGGGCAATGATGCCAGGCTGGGCGGTGGCACGGCTCACCAGGCCTGGCCTGGGCTCCCTGCCCAGCACAGCCTTGGCCCAGCGGAGCTGCTGAGGTGCCCAGGGCACAGCCAGGCTGGCAGAGCTGCTGGTTCCCCATAGTGCCCAGGGCACAGCCAGCCTGGCAGAGCTGCTGGTTCCCCATAGTGCCCAGGGCACAGCCAGGCTGGCAGAGCTGCTGGTTCCTGAGGTGCCCAGGGCACAGCCAGGCTGGCAGAGCTGCTGGTTCCCCCTGGAGCCCAGGGCACAGCCAGGCTGGCAGAGCTGCTGGTTCCCCATAGTGCCCAGGGCACAGCCAGCCTGGCAGAGCTGCTGGTTCCCCATAGTGCCCAGGGCACAGCCAGCCTGGCAGAGCTGCTGGTTCCCCATAGTGCCCAGGGCACAGCCAGCCTGGCAGAGCTGCTGGTTCCCCATAGTGCCCAGGGCACAGCCAGCCTGGCAGAGCTGCTGGTTCCCCCTGGAGCCCAGGGCACAGCCAGGCTGGCAGAGCTGCTGGTTCCTGAGGTGCCCAGGGCACAGCCAGGCTGGCAGAGCCCCAGTGGTTTCCAGGGCTCAGAGCACATCCAACCTCTCCAGACCCACTGGTTCCTCAGCTCCCTGCTGCTCACACAGCCACTGAGAGCAGCTTGTGCCAGGAGTGAGATCCCAGCCTCACCAGTGGGATTCTTGGGAGTGAGATGTAAATTCTGGTTTGTTCAGGGTGTAAGGGGCAGGGGATGGCATTGCCTGGAGAGCTGAGGGGGAAGGGACCTCACAGCCTGCCCAGTGCCATGGCAGGGACACCTCCCAGTGCCCTGGGTACTCCCAAGCCCATCCAGCCTGGCCAGGGATCCAGGGGCAGCCACAGCAGCTCTGGGCACCTGTGCCAGGGCCTGCCTACGCTCACCTGCCACAGGAGGGAACGCTCACTCACAGCCATTTCTGTCTCTTTCAGGTATTTCCTCATCGAGCGAGGCAAGAACATGTGTGGGCTGGCTGCCTGTGCCTCCTACCCCGTTCCTCGGGTGTAGCAGGGGCAGGCTGGCCTGGGGCTGCAGTGCTTGACGTGCTCCAGGGCTGAGGCTGGCACCAGAGGGGCAGAACCGGTGCCAGGCCTGCCTGCTGGCAGTGTCACCTGCTGGAGTGTCACCTGGCCCTCACACACAGCAGCCAGGTTCTCCTGCAGCAGCAGCCCGAGCTGAGCCTGCCCTGTCCCTGCCAGGTTCCCTCCTCCTGCCGTGCCCAGGTGTGCCCAGGTGTGCCTCCATCCACCCCGGGGGCAGCAGGGCCCGCCTGGATGCAGGGAAATCCCACAGGAACAGATTGAGGGCACACAGAGCTCCCCCAGCCCCTCGGTGGCTTTCCTGCAATCACCAGGTGTAAATTGTAGCGATTTTAAAATTTTCCTTGAAGGCAATTTCCCTGTTCTTTATAGGAAGGATGAATGAGTACTGTGATTTGTACACTTTTACCAATTTTGATGAAATGCTTGCTATATTTTGTATTAAAAACCAGGGTATTTTGATGCACATAGAGAAGAAACGGGTGATTTTTCTTTAACCCACCAGCGAAGACCCCAGAACCTCGGTGCCGAGGAAATGAAGCCGCGTGTGAGCAGGGGCACGTCTGTGTTGTTTCACAATGAAATCTCACTGACAATAAAGCTGCCTCGTCACCCGAGCGCTGTGCTGTGAGCTCTGAGCTGGGGGCTGAGGGGCTCCGGCCTCCCGGTGCGGGGCGCCGAGCGGGTCCAAGGCGGGTCCGAGCCGGGAGGGAGCGGGGCTAAGGCGGGCCCAAGGCGGGTCAGAACCGGGAGGGAGCGGGCCCGGCCTGAGGGCGGAGCCGCCATTTCCGGAAACACTTCCATATCCGCCGCCGTGCCTCCCGCCCCCGTGCGTCACTTCCGTCCTGTCGCCTCCGGCCAATGGGGAACCGGGGGCGGTTTTGGCGGCGAATGCGAAGCGCGGGCGGGAGGCCGCGGCGGGCGCCCCCTGGCGGCGGGGCGGTGCCGCCATGGCGGCCGTGCCGCAGAACAACCTGCGGGAGCAGCTGCAGCGGCACTCGGCCCGCGGGGCCCTGCGCGCCGCGCCGCCGCCGGCGCGGGACCGCCCGCCGTGAGTACCGGGGCGGCGGGGCGGGGCGGGGCGGCCGCCGCGGCCGGGGAGTCACCGGGCTCCTCTCCTTGCAGGGGCTTTACCTTCAAGAAGGCGCCGCGGGGCCTCGGCGCCGCCGCCGTGCTGAGGGACAAGGACGTGAACGTCTCGCTGGCCCTGCCCGCCTCGGCTCCGCCGCACGCCAAGGCGCCGCCGCGGGGCTGTGTTCCGACCTGTGCCTCCCCCGCGGCTCCCGCGGCCAGGCCGGCCAGCGCCGCTCCCGCCGGGAAGGCCAGCTCCGCTCCCGGCCCCGGTTCCGGCTCTGGCTCCGCTCCGGGCCCCGTTATCACCATCGGCGATGAGTGGGATGACATCGATGACTTCGACCTGTCGGGAATCGAAAAGAAGTTCTGTCGGCCGCCGCTGGTGTCCCCCAAGGGGCTGCGAGCCACCGTTAAGGAGCCCCCGCGGCCCGGCCCCCGCCCGGCCTCGCGCGGCTCTCCCGGGGCCCCGCGGCCCGGCGGCGGCGGGGAGGCAGCGGCGGAGGCCGAGCCGCGGCCCTGCTCGCAGCGCTCCGTGATCTGCCTGGAGGACTCGGCTGCGGGGCCCGGCTGCGGGGAGCAGGATGCTGCTGAGCCGCGCCGGGATGCGGGCAGCGCCGGGGCTCGCCCAGGTAAGGGCTGTGCGCAGGTACCGGGCTGGAAGAACATCCAGCCAGCTGGGTGCGCAGGTACCGGGCTGGAAGAACATCCAGCCAGCTGGGTGCGCAGGTACCGGGCTGGAGGAACCGCTGGGTGTGCAGGTACTGGGCTGGAAGAACGTCCAGCCAGCTGGGTGCGCAGGTACTGGGCTGGAAGAACGTCCAGCCAGCTGGGTGTGCAGGTACTGGGCTGGAGAAACCGCTGGGTGTGCAGGTACCGGGCTGGAGGAACAGCTGGGTGTGCAGGTACTGGGCTGGGTGTGCAGGTACCGGGCTGCAGGAACCGCTGGGTGTGCAGGTACCGGGCTGGAGGAACAGCTGGGTGTGCAGGTACTGGGCTGGGTGTGCAGGTACCGGGCTGCAGGAACCGCTGGGTGTGCAGGTACCGGGCTGGAGGAACAGCTGGGTGTGCAGGTACCTGGCTGCAGGAACCGCTGGGTGTGCAGCCCAGGGCTTGGCTTGGCTTGGCGTGGCTTCTCAGGAGTCACGGGGAGCTGTGTGCTCGGTACCCCCAGCCTGGAAGCGGGGCAGCGTCCTGCCGGTGCAGGAGCAGCAGCTGCTCTTGTACTGCAGTTACAAGATTAATAGCATTCCTGAAATGATCAATAATCTATAGGGATGCTATGGAGAGAAAAACACTCAGCAAATTCATGCAGGAGAGACCTGAACAGACCTGCATGAAATAAACCAGAAAAAGTGATTGCTCTCCATTTTTAACATAAGCATAAACACAAAAGAACTCCAACTCTCAGTTATGATCACAAAATTCCTGCCTGTTATTATTTTGGCAGCTCTGTCCCACCGAGTTGCTTTATTTTAGATTCCTTACCTCTTGTGTTTTGAAACTTTGGACCTTTATTTGGGAAATTAACGTGTTTATGCCACTGAAAACATCAAAGAATGTTCTGGGATGCTGCCCTTACACTGAGTGGTGAAAACATTTGTGAACTGTATTTCTGTTTTTAATATTTTCTTGTCTTTTCCTTTCTCTGTGAAATTAATTTCAATAAGTTAATGATATTGACCTCTCTTTGTAGGATTTGTCTTTTAAGACACAATGCATGTACATTTACCTTCCAGTTCCAGTACAGGGATTGTGACAGCTAATGAGTCTGCACTCTTTTAAGGCTAGGATTTCATATAATAGGAGCTTTTAATAGAAACAGGTTTTTATATAAATCGTTTTTATAGCAAAGCATTGCAGAAAAATAGATCTCTTCAGTGTTTCACTTCTGCCAGGGACAGCTGACTGTAGGTTTATTCGTATCACTTTTCCGCTTCAATGAGGGTTTGTGGGGGTTTGTCTGTCTGTTTTACTGGGGAGACAAGGGAGCAGCAGGTTTTATCCTCTGGGAGTCAGAAGCTGGATCAAACGAGTGCTTTGGAATCTGGCTGCTGTTCTCCCCTGTGTCTGTGGCAGGCTGGCTCAGTGTGCAGTGTTCCCCAGCAGTACCAATGCCCTTCCCTTGCAGCTGAAGGGGGCCAGGAGCCACGGCGGGCTGGGAGCAGCTCCCCAGCGCTGGATGAGGCCGCCTGGCCGTGGGCAGGTGCTGACATCGAGGAGGATGACCTGGACATCGTCCCTCCCTCCCCGGAGGAGGAGGAGCTGCCGCCCTTCTCCCCCTCTGCACAGAGTGCCAGGTACCCAGAGCTCGCTGCTGAAACCGTCTGTCTGGTGCAGGAGCACAAAAGCACCAAAACCAGCCCCAATTCCTGCTTGGTAACGAGGCACACATTGAGCTCGGTCTCTTTGCTGCTTGCCAGGTTGATGGCTGGCAGCTGCAATCAATGCTTTATCAAATACTAGTTTTATGGCTGATAAAATTAGTTTTAGCTGGCTTTCGCTTCAGAAAAAAGCAGAGTGACTTCTGTAGTGGGATGGGAGAAAATTCCATACATTGGCACCCAGGATGAGTGACTGCTCAGCTCTTGGGTTCTGCCTGGGCCTTCAGGAATTTATCTTTTTCACACATTTAAATCTCACTGTTCTGTGGAAGTGCCTCAGATTACAGAGATCTGTATTTTCATGGCTTTTCCTTTTGGTGTTAGCAGCATTTTCAGAGACTCTCCCACTGGAGGAAGGTGCACACCTGGCAGCTCCGAGGCCAGGCAGGAGAAAGTTCCCTCAGCACATCCTGGTGATGCCAATGCAGGAGATTCAGGTACACAAAATGCTTTGGAAATTCATATCTCTGATTTTGGGGGTAGTTTGTAACTATTTATTATCCTGTGTAATCCAAGAACATTAACAGATGGAGAATGAACATCCATAGATGGAGAGTTGACATAAATGGTTGGATTACAGACAGATAATGAAAGACAAGGGCAAAAATATGTAGATTCATGGAGTTCCTGCACACAGAATCAGTTTCTTTGTGCACATGGACTAAAAGCGTGTTGGAAGTAAATTGTTCAGACTGACTGACCGCAGTCACTGTCCTCTGGAGGGTGGTATCCCGTGGGCACCCGTTGTGGTGGAAACGCTGTGCTGAGCTCCCTCCCCGTGGCAGGTGAGGCCGTGCCGGTGGCCCCGCGGCTGCTGGCGGTCATGGAGGCCATCTGCGAGCTGGTGGATGCCATCCCCCTGCAGGAGCTGCAGGCCCTGCGCTGTGCCCGCGCCCTGCTGCAGCACCGGGACCTCAGGTAGGCGGGAGCAGCAGGTGCGGAGCAGGGAGCTGCCTGCAGGTGTCCCCAGCGCTCTGGAGAACGGGCCGGGAGGGCTTTGGGAAGCTGGGAACGCTCCTGAGGGAGGGAACAGAATGCCCCGAACTGCTGCAAACGCTGGGGTCCCTGTGTGCTGCCAGAGCGAGGATCCGGCTCCACGGGCAGCCTGAGGAGCTGCCTGGCACCAGGTGCTCCTGCACCCACGGGGGATGTGGGTGACCTGCCAGGTGTCCTCCTCAGTTCTCCTGCCACGGGCATTCAGCTCAGTGTTGTCTCCCCCCTCGCCGACTGCAGGGACGGGGATTTCTCCTAATACCCCTGAACTTGTCATCTTCCAGTGGAATTATTGCTGCCACAACCTGCTGCTCTGTCTGCTGCCTCACCTGAGGCACAATGCATGGACAAAGTATTGGGATTTGGGATTTTGCTTAGATTCTTCCTGGACTGGAATCATTGAGCTTCTGTAAATGTTCTCAGTACAACAGCTTGTTTTATTTCTCATTGCTGTAGTCAGACATAGTCTTTAGAAAGTACCTAAAAACATGATGTGGTTCAGGTGTACTTTTAACTTCAGGTTTTGCTTCTTAAGGATTTATTTTTAATATTCTACCTTGCCTGGATCTGTTCCTTGCTTTTAGAAATTATTTTATATTGTGTCTGTAGAGATGATGTCACAGTTTTGTCATTGGTTTCTTCTGGTGGTATTTTCTCTTCCCTAGATTTGTTTGAAATGATTTTCAAACATGGTGACTCAGAACCATATGTTATATGTTTAACAGCAGTGAGACAAAACTGTTTAATGAATGTTGTAGAACTTGGTAAATCATTGCTTGTGACTAAATATATATTTTTTTCATTCCTCCTTCCCTTGCTGTCTCTCCCAGGAGAAAACTGCTGGCTAGTTCTGTCAGTTTGAAACAGAATGGCATCAACACCAGTGTTCCTAGAAGCTGGAAGTCTCCCATGGAGCAGAGCCCTCGTGTGTGTCCTGGTGCAGGCTCTGGCCCAAGCTGGAGCTTCAGTTCTGACAGAAACTCCCCCAAACCCACAAACCTCCCGTCGGTGCTTTCTGTTCATTCCAGCGGCTCTTCTGCCAAAGCCAACCAAACCCTGGACAGCTCTTGTGCTCCAAGGCAGGGTGCCGAGGAGCCGCCGTGCCCGGGCCCTGCAGCGCTGCCTGGTGCCAGGGCAGGTGCCAGGGAGGGCGCTTTCCTCGGGCTGAGCCTGCGGTCCTGCGACAGCAGCTGGGACAGCAGTCCTGGGCCCAGGAGCGGGGTGCAGCCCCTGACCAGCACAGCCCTGAGGGGCCAGAGCACAGCCCCCGCCGCAGGGCACAGCCCGGGCACCGATCTGGAGCTGGATGCGTTTGACATCGATGACCTGGAGGAGGAGGACTGGGACAGCGCGGTGCCCGCGCCCGCCCCCGCGGTGCCACCCACGCCGCCGTGCCCGCCCCGCCCGCAGGGGCCTCCTGCCCAATCCCTCCTGTCCAAGATCATGTCCCGGGCCGGAGGGTCGGCTGTGGGCTCCACTCCTGCCGCTCCAAAGCCAGCCCTCCCCGTGGCAACAAAGAACCATCCAGGTGACCTGCACTCCTGAGGGTTGTTGGCGTTTTCCGTTTTTAAATTCTTGTTTATTTCTTTTTGAATCTAATACCAAGTAACTACTGCAGATCGCATCCATGCCTTTTGTTTCTGTGGAAGTTTCTTTTGGTTCCTTTTTTGCAAAGTCATCTTGGGGTTTTTTTCCTCTAAATGATGCTAATCTTGAATATTCCCTTCCTGTGCTGGTTTCAGGCTGCTGGAAGATGAAGCTGCTAAAATTGGAAATGAGGGTATTTCTATGTTTTAGTTAAATAATGATTCTGCAGCTTTTGATTCAAAGCAGTACAATGGTTTTCACTGCAAGATGTTCCAAAATGGGTTTGTGGAAGCAAACTCAGTCCCCCCAGGGCCCAGGGTTGGTCAGTGTCATTTCAGGTTAATGTAGAGACAGGCTGGCAAAAGGGGAGGTGAAAATCAGAGTCACAGAATGGTTTGGGGTGGACGAGACCTTAAAACCCATCCAGTGCCACCCTGCCATGGCAGGGACACCTTCCACTGTCCCAGGGTGCTCCAAGCCCTGTCCAGCCTGGCCTTGGGCACTGCCAGGGATCCAGGGGCAGCCCCAGCTGCTCTGGGCACCTGTGCCAGGGCCTGCCCACCCTCGCAGGGAACAATTCCTTCTGTAACTTGATGTCATAACTTGCTCTAATCGCATTTTTTTGTCTTTCAGATCCAGTGGTTCATAACCCTGCACTGGAGCGTTTCAGGGGCATGAAATTTCCCCATTCTGCAGAAATGATGAATATATTCCACAAGAAGTTTGGGTTGCACTGTTTCCGGACAAACCAGCTGGAGGCCATCAATGCTGCTCTGCTGGGGGAGGATTGTTTCATCCTCATGCCCACAGGTACAGGGTACCAACCTGCAGCTCCTTTTGCAAGCTTTGGGACAAGCTTTTCTTTTCCTCTGTGCCTTTGAGCTGCTGGAATTCTGTGACTGCAGGATTTCAGGACTATTTTTGCACTGGGGTATTTTGAGTGAGGGGATTGAATTTCTGCTTTCCTTAGTAATTCACACACAGTAACTGTTCCTTATCCTACAGGTGTCACTTAGTGGCAGGCATTGGTCGAAATGTGTTGTTTCCAGAGGTGCTGTAAAATGGCAAATAAGGAGTAGGTGCCCATCCCTTTTCTCGATAGCCAACCCTTGCTGTGTTGTCTCATCCCCACAGGAGGTGGGAAGAGCCTGTGCTACCAGTTACCAGCCTGTGTCTCTGCCGGGGTCACCATCGTTATTTCTCCGCTCAGGTCGCTCATCATCGATCAGGTTCAGAAGCTCAAGACTTTAGATGTAAGTTCCAGCAGCTTTATTGAGTGAAGCTGCAGGTAACTGGATTAGAAATCTGAAATTTTACAGCAAATCTTGTGTCTCCCGGATATAAACTGCATAAATAGATTAGGGGGACACTGTGAACGGCACAGGAAGGTGCCTGGGAAGAGCTAAATTGGATGAACTCGAATATCTTGGCAGTGTGACCGCTGGATTTATTGCTGCTCCTGGTGTTGGGTGTTGGAGCTGTGTTTTGCAGAGCAGGGGCTGGTTCTGAGATTTGTGATCACTCGCCTGCACAGGAGCAGCCTGGCCCTGCAGTGGGAATGAGCCCCAGGGGCTCTGGAGCTGGGGGGGTATGGAGGTGCTAAACATCTTTGCAAACATGATACACAGAGCAGAAATGCAGGTGCAGGAGATCACAGGATCCCAGGATGGCTTGGGTTGGAAGGGATCTTAAAGTTCACCTTGTTTCACCCCTCACCATGGGCAGGGACACCTTCCCCTGGCCCAGGCTGCTCAAATGTGTGTTCCAAACGTGTGTTCCCAAGGCTGACTGCTTAGGAACTGGTTTGTAATGAGAGGCTGGGAGCTTCTTGATTTGGAGGTTCTGTTTTGCATGTAATAAAACTCAATATATGTATTTATAATTTTTTTTTAATATAGATTGCTGCAACATACCTGACTGGTGACAGAACAGATGCTGATGCCTCAAAAATCTACATGCAGTTGTCAAAGAAAGACCCTGTGATAAAGCTGCTGTATGTCACCCCTGAGAAGGTCTGTACTTCATCTTCAGTTGTAAAACCATAGGGGCTACGAGGGGGGGATGTGAGGTGCTGAAAATCTGCACTCAGAGTAGGCTTCTGGGGAAAAAATGCTAGGTTTTGGGTAACTCATTAAGAATGTATACGGATGTAGCTAATTTCAGTCAGTAATTAGCCAAGAATAAGAACTGAGTATGTCTGTAAAATGTAAATTCCTAAAACAAGCTCCCATGCCCAGCTGTTTCAATCTATCTTGATGCACATTAGTGTTAATCACTGTCCTGCAGCTACTAAATCCAGACCCCTCTGAATAGGGTGATACAGGGAAAATGCAGCATTGTCAGGGTGATAGGGAATTGTCAGAGCTTGCCTTGGGCTGCATTATATGCTGCCTTAAAAATATGTTATTGCACAAGAGCTTTGTAAGAGGGGGCTGGTTAGTGTGCTGATTGTGTTTCTCTCTTCAGCATTATTTTTCCCTGTTTCCTGACATAAGTAATTTAAATTTACTGAAATTTCCTCAGAATGAGGGGCCTTGGGGTGGGTGATCCCAGAACCTGGTGGGAATCCCACAGCAGCTGCTTGGTTAGAACGCAGCTGGCTGGGATCATCTCTGTGCCCTGAGCACTCAGCTGGGCAGCGCAGGGTGATCCTGCAGCGCAGGACAGTGGTTTGTGCGCTCTCAGCCAGCCCAGCCGACACTTGTAGCCCAGGTATTTTGCTTTCCATTGCCGCTGGTGGCGCGTCCCAGGTGTGTGCCAGCAGCCGCCTGATGTCCGCCCTGGAGAACCTCTACGACAGGAAACTCCTGGCACGCTTTGTCATTGACGAGGCCCACTGTGTCAGCCAGGTAAAGCCTCCCCCCGTTTTCAGGAACGCCAGAGGACTCGGCCGGAGCGTTGTACTGAGTTGCACTGAAATTGTGTTTTGCACCCAGTGGGGCCACGACTTCCGCCAGGACTACAAGCGGCTGAACGCGCTGCGCAGGAAGTTCCGCTCCGTGCCCATGATGGCCCTGACCGCCACCGCCAACCCCCGCGTGCAGAAGGACATCCTCAACCAGCTCGAGATGCTCCAGCCACAAGTGTGAGTGCTCACAAGGCTTCTGGAACCCTTTGTGTGTGCCACAGAAATTCTGAGTGGAAAACTTAGTGAAGTAAAAAAAGCCTCGCAGACCTATCTAAAATCCTTATGTGGCTGTATCTGATGAAATGAAATTAAATTAAATGCATGCATGGAGTTTATTAGGAGGTAGATTTAAAATATTAACATAAGAAGCAAAAAACTCACCAAGCCCTTCCTTGCATGCTGAAGGAAGCTGTTTAACACAACATAGCTGTACCCATAAGGCTGACGAGCACCATGAACTGTCACATTTCAGGTTTACAATGAGCTTCAACAGGCATAACTTGAAATATGATGTGTTGCCCAAGAAGCCAAAGAAGGTGGCGATGGACTGCTTGGAATGGATTAAAAAATATCACCCCCGTGAGTATTCAGCAGCATGATGCCCACAGGCCTTTTCATGAACCACTTCTCAAGGCAGTAAAAGCTTTTATAATGCTATATAGTGATATATTTACCAGAAAAGCAAGATGGAGGTAAAGTGATGTTACTGAAAATGGGAATCGGATTTATGTGCATTCTAAAGTTGAGAATTTAAGTTAAGATGGAAAAGTCAATTATGGTGATGCTCTTGAATGACCCTTCTGGAGCCTGCCAGAGCTTTTAGGATCATGTCTTCAGAGAATAAAGGTCACCCAATATCTTAATTGTTTAATTGCGTTGGTCTGCTTATCTGTAATTCCCCTTGAAGGTATCTTCAGAGATTCCCATCTTTCTAGGCTCACTTTGGAGTCCTGCAGCTCCTGCTGCTGGAACTGGATTACACCAAGCTCCCTCCGCTTCTCCCATGCTGTACCCTCAGAGACCATTTACTAGACTTTTCTAACTCTTGAATTATATAGGTTTCGTTCATACATGCTAAATGCTGAGATTGCGAAATACTGATGAGGAAAACATTTCTTCATGCCACCTCATCAAAAGCCCAAAAATACTGTGTAGGAAAGACTGTCAAGACTATCTGTACTAATAAAATAAGTTCTATAGTGAAGCAGTTATATCTTTACTCTTATCTTTATTCCACTGGGGAGAGGTTGGTGTCTGCTTGGCAGGCTGAGCAGGGAAAGCAGCTAAAACTGTACTGTAGTTCAGATTTCTTTTCCCATCTCTTTGCAGATGACTCTGGAATAATCTATTGCCTTTCCCGGCACGAGTGTGACACCACAGCAGCCATCCTGCAGAAGGAGGGGCTGGCTGCCCTGGCCTACCACGCCGGCCTCACCGATTCCAACAGGGATCTGGTGCAGCAGAAGTGGGTTAATCAGGAGGGATGCCAGGTGAAGAGAAAACGGGAGGAAAAGGGAAGAAAATCTGGGCACTTTTATCCCTCTTGGCCTGGGAAATAATAGGGAAGTTGTTATCACCAAATGCAGTATTGAATAGCTGATCCCAGCAGACCTGCTGGGGCACAGCAGCCACCTTCCACTGGGAATTCTGTGATTGAAAGGTTGTAGCACTGCACCGAGGTGTGCTACTCCAGCAGGGAGGACCTGAGCAGGGCAGGGCTTCGGGAACAGCTCCTGGCACACCGCTGTGCAGAGCCTGGGGTTTGGGTTTTCCTGTGTCTGGAGTGGCTCCTCCAACAGGAGGGGAGGTTGTTGCTGTTTTGTGCTTGTTCTGCACTGTTACAGCTGAAATTCTGAGTCCTCCAGGGTTGCCAATCCAGGTCCCTCATGGAAAGGTCTTTCCATAATGTGCGTCTAGAGCATTTTGATCTCCTTCCCAGGTGATATGTGCAACAATTGCCTTTGGAATGGGCATTGACAAGCCCGACGTGCGCTACGTTATCCACGCGTCCCTTCCCAAATCCATCGAGGGCTACTACCAGGAGTCTGGCAGAGCTGGCAGGGATGGAGAGATGTCCCACTGCCTGCTCTTCTACAGCTACAGTGATGTCACCAGGCTGAGAAGGCTCATCCTGAGTGAGTTCTCCTCTGGGGACTTGGAGATGACATTACAGCATCACATTGTTGCTGGTCTCATTTTAGCCTGTGTTACTTTTCTTTTACAAATGCCATGGATAGTTCAGTATTGCAGGGAGGGAAGAACTGGGAATCCTTACCTGGATGGTTTTCATTCAGGTGCCAGAAGCAGGATTTTTGTCACTTGTACTTAATTTTAGTTAAAACCACTTTGCTTCACAGAATCATGAAATTGTTAAGGGTGGAAAAACCTTTAATATCATCAAATCCAACTGTCAGACCAACTCCACCCCCCTGTTCACCACTAGAACATGTCCTCAGGTGACACATCCAGATACTTTTTGAGCGCTTCCAAACATACTGACTCCATTTAGGGCATCCTGTGCCAGGGCTTTGCTACCCTTTCTATGTAGAAACTGTTCTTGATATCTTACCTAAATCTCTCCTGACACAACTTGAGGCCACTTTCTCTCATGATGTCATGCTTACCCTTCTCTTGATTTTTGTCATTATAGCCTTATTTCCCTTCTCCAGTTCTCTAAAACTTGAGAGATAAAATCTGTCCTATATCTGTTCTGTACTAACCCACTCATCTTTTCTTGAGCAAAGCCAATATTGCGTTTTAAGCAAAGGCAGTATGGCGGGTTTTTTGAGCAAAGCCAGTTTTTATTCGCATTCCATGAAAGGGCACAGGTGCAGCTTTAACAAACACCACTGAATTTGCTGTGTTTCAGTGGAGAAGGATGGGAACAGCCACACGAGGCAGACCCACTTCAACAACCTGTACAGCATGGTGCACTACTGCGAGAACGTGGTCGAGTGCCGCCGCGTGCAGCTGCTCGCCTACTTCGGGGAGACCAACTTCAACCCCACCTTCTGCAAAGATCACCCAGAGGTGATTTGTGACAACTGCAGTAGAAAAAAGGTAAACCCCAAAGGTTTTATTTGTAGTGGTGTTAAACTGAATTTGTATTTAGTCACATCTATAAGCGGTTACACGACAGGGAAGGGATCCTGATCAGTTTTGTACCTGCGGATATTCTGTCTCAGCTCTGTGTTTGAAACATTTCCTTATACAGCTGTGATTGGAACCAAATTTGATGAGGATAATGCCTATTTAGTCTCATTCTAATGTTCTAGAGCGCAGCAGGGTAATTACAGGAATGCTTCCCAAATGATTTACCTTGATTGCCAGTATTTACCCAGCAATCTTGCACCTCACTCTACACAAATAACCCTGGGGGGATTATATACAGTCAGTTGGATTGGTTTTGTGTTATCACATCCAGAATCCCTGTGACTGTATCACTGTAGGTTTCTAACTAGGAATCACGGTTTCTTTATTTGGAACAAACTCAATTCACAGCTGAGAAAAGCTCAATCATGGAAACTGAGGTCGTCAGTAACAGCCTGGATTAGGGCAGGAACATGCAATGGCATGGCCTGATGGGGTGTGACTTCACAGGATTATAAATCACGGAATGTGACCGAGGATGTGAAGAGCATCGTGCGGTTTGTGCGCGAGCACTGCGCGCAGGCGGGGCGGATCAACGGCAGCAGGAACCCAGGCTCTGGCAGGTACACCCTCAACATGATGGTGGACATCTTCCTAGGTGAGTGTTCTCCCAGAAACTCCTCAGTGACCTGGTGCACAAATCCCTGACCAGGAATCAAGAGGGTTGTGCAATGCCAGCAGGTGTTTAAAAAAAACATGTATTTCACAAAGTTAGTTTTCCCAGGAATCTCTTGGTGGTAAGTGATCCAAAATAAATGAAACTGAAGATTTAATCCATTTCAGGTTGCTATAGTGATAACATTGGTTTTCCAGTGTTTAAAGGCTTTTTTGAATGTGAACAGACTGCCTTGGGAATCTCCCACACATCTGTAAATGCGTGTACATGGGCTTTGTGAGCACGAGCTCATCCTATGCTTTCTGTTGCACAGGTTCAACGAGTGCCAAGATTCAGTCTGGGATATTTGGGAAGGGAGCTGCCTATTCCAGGCACAATGCTGAAAGGCTGTTCAGAAAACTGGTCCTGGACAAGATCCTGGATGAGGATTTGTACATCACAGCTAATGACCAGGCAGTGGCATATGTCATTCTGGGAGAGAGAGCTCAGGCTGTGCTGGATGGGTCACTCCAGGTGTGTAACCATTTCGTTTCTTGAAGGCATTGTTTTAAGGAAGGTGCTGCAGTTTTCCTTTAGCATATTCCCTCAGGTAGCTTAAACACAATTTGCCTCCAGCTGAACTAATGTCTGGTAGATGGAAGGAACAGAATCCAACATGTGTGATTCGTACCGCAGTATTCCAGTAATAATGTTGTCAGGCAAAAAGTGAGTTTGAGAGGCTTGGAGAGGTCTAAACCTTTCTCTTCTTCCCCACCCATCTAATTCCTGCTGGACAGTGAAGGAAAGTTCTGACCTCCACAGAAAGATGGCTAAGAAGAGAAAGAAGAAGAGCCAGCACTCCCTTTTTTGTTTTCTACTCTATTTTTTCCTAGTCATTGGTGGGATCTGATGGAATAGGCACTTCATGAAGTCGTGGAACAGTCCCAGGTTTCTTGAGGCAACACCTCCTCTGCATTAGTGCTGTGTTTGGAGCAGGACAGAGCCCTCAGCATTACCCCAGTGACCTCTGTTTGAAGCCAGCTGGGAACTGGGCTCTTGGAGGTTTTCCTCCTCTCTAAACTCTTCCAGCCCTTTGTTGAGGAAACTGGGGTGGGGCTGAGTAACCTGTAAAAACTTATTTTAAAAATGTGTGCTGGGTGAAGAGCTTTTTTTGGTCCATCAGAGGATATCTCAGTTTCCTGTGCTGTGTCCCTGTGTTATCAGTCAGGGTGTGCAGGAACTCCCTGGCAGCAGTTACAGATGGCTCATTTTAACAGGTGGAGTTCCACGAGACAGAGAGTGCCAGTGCCATCAGAAGGCAAAGGGCTTCCATGGCAAAGATGTCCCAGCGCGAAGAGATGGTGAAACAGTGCCTCAGTGAACTTACAGACACCTGCAAAACCCTGGGCAAAGTCTTTGACGTGCATTACTTCAATATCTTCAGTACTTCCACCCTAAAGAAAATAGCAGGTAAGGCCAGATTTCTCAGAAGTCCTTTGGGGCTTCTGCATAGAGGGGCATGGAAAGGAATTTATTTCCTTCTTTATAAAGAGGTATCTTTATAAAAAGTTATTTGTTTGACATGTCTGAGGGATACTTTTGTGCTGCAGAAACCTTGTCCTCAGACGTGGAGGTGTTGCTGCAGATCGATGGTGTCACAGAAGACAAACTGGAGAAGTACGGTGCAGAAATAATTAAAGTGATGGATAAGTACTCAGAATGCTCCATCCCAGGTGTGCTTTGTACCTCAACATGTACTTCTGTTCAGTGCCTTTCTCTCCTCCTCTAGCAGATGGTTGATTCAAAAGTTACCATGATTTAATCACAAATAACTAATTTTTACCGTTCAATAATTCCAAAAGGGAGCAATCACTTTCGGAACACACCAAAGTCTTTCTGCCTTCCCACTAGAGATAAATTCAGGGGTGGGGCAGTGCAGAGGAGGTGAGGAACGGCCAGGACAGATGTTCTGACGCCAGCAGAGTGTCCTGACTGGCCCGGGTGCTCCCTGACTGAGTTGGTTTTCCCTCCCTGCTGTGTAGAAGATGCCGCCTGCCCGGGCGGGGACACGGCCACGGGGAGCACGGGCTCGCCGGGGAGCGATGGGGAAGCAGAGGATGCAGGCACAACCTCCAGCTATTTTGGCAATAACACAAACCAGAGGAGGAAGAGGAAGCGGGCGCCCACCTCCAGGGACTCCAAGAGGAAAAGGACGGGTGGTGGTGGCAGCCAGCAGTTCCACCCCAGAGGGTATGTGCCTGGGGTCACTTCTCTCTGCACAGCGATGGTCCCAGAGCTGCAGTTCCCCCACTGCATGGGCTTAAATAATGTTAAAACTATCCAGGTGCCTGGCCAGAGCTGCTCCGCCCTGCTTTTCTGCATGTTTGCTTTTGAAAGCTGGTGAGGAAGGATGTTTAACACTTGTCCTCACACTTGACTGCTGCAGGCTAAGCAGGGAACACTCCATTTCAGTGTTCTGCCATAGCTAGCATTAGCAGGCTCACCAGGTTCCTTGCTTGAAATCACAAACAGGTCTTAAAACTTTGAACGCTTGATGGAATATTTGAACTTCAGCCCCTTGTTAATTCAGATTCTCCTTCTGATTGTTTCATGCAAAGCAACACCTGCATCTGCTGTTGGTTGGTCTTGAGCTTCTCAGGCAGATCTCCCACTTCCCAAGGATTTCCCCTTCCCTCCCCCAGTTCTCATCATTCTGCTCCCTGTTTTTTGTAGCAAATGGTTTTCCCAGCCCAGCAGGTTTTGTCCCACCCTTGGCACTTTCCCATCTACTGGAATATCTGTCATTAGCTCTGCTGCCTCGGAAGTGTGACTTGTGGTTGCTGCTGACCCTTGGGTACATCCCAGAGCAGCAGCTGTACTGTTTGCATTTCAGAGGTGGTTTTGCAGCCATGTGTGTTAAAAAAAATAAAAATTCACAAAATGAGTGTGTAGTCCTCCAGAAAATGCAGTGGTGGTGCCTGCGTGAGCGCAGGCTGGTGCAGGGGCCAGGGCAGGTGCCACAGGTGTCTCACACACGCCTTCTCTGATTTTTGCAGTGGCTACAGCAGGTACAGAAGGACCAAGAAGCTGCCGAGTTCGAAGGCTCCAGCCTCCTCCGGTGCCAGCTCCGGGTCCTGCAGCGTTGGTGGCACACAGGGAGCTGCTGGGAAGCTGGCCATGATGGCACTGCCCAAACCCAAATCCAGGAGCTTCCTTCAGCCTTCGTATTCCATATTTTAGCTGGGAAATGCAATTACAGGATGAATTTCCCGAAGATGGAATTACTGTTTATTAAATTTTTGTTTAGTTTGGTGCTGCTGAACCTTTTGGGACTTGTGTATTTGTCGAGTACAAAAGCTCACATTAAATAAGTATTTTTTAACTTGTCAGTTTATTTGGGCCTTTCTGCTTGGGAGTGGGTCTAGAAGCTCTCCCCTGTTGGTGACTCCTGCCTGTGCTGCTGCTGTACAGCCCCCTCAGGGACATGATCATGACCCCACATTCTGGGGGCTGCATGTCCCCAAGGCTGTGGCTGCCTCTGTCCTCGCTTGCTCCTGTCTCAGTGCTCCGGAGCTGGGAGCTGGGCTGCCCCTCTGGAAAGAATAGGTTGGGGAGGAGAAAGGTAATGAATGTTTTTAAGTTATCTATTTGATTCCCCACATCCTGGAACCGGGAGTGTCTAACCCTGCCCTGGGTGTGCGTTTTTTCAGTTACTGCTTTCTTTTTTAGCCAAGATCTTGTCGGTGCCGTGGTGCAGGGCGCGGGCCTGCCCTTGGCCGGGCACGGCGGTGTGGGTGTGAGGGCGGCTGTGCCCCGGGCAGGGCAGGGCAGGACGGGCCGCCCCTGCGTGCCTGGAGCCCAGCATTGCATCCGCTCTGCCTGGGCACCGAGTCCGCACGCCTGGGCTTGGGAGGCACCTTAAAGCTCATCCCTGCCACGGCAGGGACACCTTCCACCGTCCCAGGTGCTCCCAGCCCCAGTGTCCAACCTGGCCTTGGGCACTGCCGGGGCTCCAGGGGCAGCCCTAGCTGCTCTGGGCACCTGTGCCAGGGCCTGCCCACCCTCATTCCACAGGGAGGAATTTCGCGCTGCCCAGCGCTCCGTGCCCAGCGGGAGCCGGGCGGTGCCGGCGCTGAGGGCGCTGAGGGCGGGCCCGACCGGCCGGCCCTGCGCGGGCGGGAAGCGCCGCTCCGCCCCGCGCGCGCCATGGCGCTGTCCCAGCCCGGGCCGCGGCAGCCCGAGGAGCCGGCAGCGCACCGCCGGCAGCAGCTGCAGGTCCGGGAGCGCGGGAGGAGAGGCGCTGGCATGGGAGGGGACCGGGGGCTGCCGGGAGAGGGGACGCGAGAGGAGCTGGGCTGTGAGGGGAGAAAGCGGGGGAGGTGAGGAGCGGGGCGGGCCGGGTTCAGGGCCCGCCGGTGCTGGAGGTCCGCCCGCGGGTCCCCGCCGACTCCCGTTCGTCTCCGCAGGAGTCCTCCTCGCCGGGCCCTGCCGAGCTCCGTTCGCCCCACCAGGAGTCCTCCTCTCCGGGCCCCGCCGAGCCCCGTTCGCCCCATCAGGAGTCGCCCCATCAGGAGTCGCCCCCGGCGGGCCCTTCCGAGCCCCGTTCGCCCCCGCAGGAGTCCCTCCCGGAGGGTCCCGCCGAGCCCCATTCGCCTCCGCAGGAGTCGCCCCCTCAGGAGTCGCCCCCGGCAGGCCCGGCCTTGCCCCGTTCGCCTCCGCAGGAGTCCCTCCCGGAGGGCCCCGCCGAGCCCCGTTCTCCCCCGCAGGAGTCGCTCCCGGCGGGCCCCGCCGAGCCCCGTTCGGCCCCTCAGGAGTCGCCCCCGCCGAGCCCTTCCGAGCCCCGTTCGCCCCATGAGGAGTCGCCCCCGCCGAGCCCTTCCGAGCCCCGTTCGCCCCCTCAGGAGTCGCCCCCTCAGGATTCACCCCCGGCGGGCCCCGCCGAGCTGGGGCCGAGCGCGGCCGCGGGCCTGGGCCGGCAGCTGCGGGTGGTGCTGACGCCGCTGCCCGCGGCGGCCTGGCCCCAGAAGCGGCTGCGGAGGGCCCGCTCCCCGACCCGCAAGAGGCTGTGCCGGGAGCCCGAGAGCGGCCCCGGAGCCGCCCCCGGCTCCCCGCCCGGGCCCAGCTCGGCTGCCCGCGGCCAGGACGGGATGCGGGATGTGGACAGCGACGGCAGCGACGGGGGAGACGCGGCTCCGGTGAGTGCCCGGCCCCCGGTTATTATATTTACAGAAATAAAGCTTTTAAGTGTTTTTCTTCTGTAAGTGGGTTTTATTCCCCCTTTTTAACCTCTGGCTGGCAGTGTCCCACTTCATTTTACCCTTTCACTGAAGTTTTAAGTTCTTTATTGAGTCTCTTCATTATTGCTTTCATTATTAAAAATTTTGTTACGGTTCGCTTCATAGAGTTAATGCCAGAGTAAGTTTTGTAAAGCAAACTGGACCCGTATGGACAGTTTTTGTTGTTGATACATGACCGCCCCAATTTGTATGGTCTTACATTTGTTACTACATTTGTTAAAAATAATTTAATCAGTTCAGGACTCACTTCTCTGAGCCTGGGACCACTCTTGCAGCCATGTAACTGTATGATGGAGAGTGACTGTCTTCTCGTTCTGTAGGATGGATACTCCCACCTGTCAGCCTATGAAAGGAAAAGACTGAAGAACATCACAGAAAATGCTAAATTCTTTGCTGCTCTAAAGCTGCATGAGGTTTGTATTTGGTCTAAATAGCATCAAAATGCTCTTTCCAAGTGTCATAATTGCACTGTCATCCATCCTGGTGTGAAACCCTTTCCTCACTGGGGCAGGCAGCTGTATATGAGGAAAGCCATGAAAATCACAGAATCCTGGAATGTTTGGAAAGGACCTTAAAGCCCTTCTCATTCCACCTCCAGCTGTGGGCAGGGACACCTTCCATAGACTAGGGTGCTCCAAGCCCCATCCAGCGTGGCCTGGAACACTTACAGGGATGGGGCAACCACAGTTCCTTTCTTATTATTATAAATAATGGCAGTAAGTTTATCACTGCCTTGAGATAATTGCATTTTATACTGGTTAATGCTTTATGCTCATTATCTATAATTAGTCTCTTTTTTTTCTCTTTAAGTCAGCTGCAAGGCTTAACCAACTTACCACTAAAAGGCAATCTCAGGTCACTAAAAGGTACAGTACCAGTAGATGAGATTTATATCCTTGATTCTTCATTGTGGGAGGAAAACAAATATTGGGAAAAGGTGAGGGGAAAAAAAAGAGAGGGCGTGGCCAAGGTGCCGGGGAGAGGGTAAGCAGTAAATGTGGAGGAGAAGACATTGGCCGTGCCAGAACAGTGCCAGGTGGAGCAGAAAATGAGCTGAAGCCCAAATAAGGAGTCAGCTGTGTGATGGGAGAAGGTGGGAATGGCTGGGTGGGTAAGGAATGAGGAGAGCTGGGCAGGGATGCATCCCAGGGAAGCAGGGGCGGCACCTGCTGTGCAGTGCAGAGTGCTCGTGGTTTGGTCTCAGTGTCATGGATGGAAGAGCAGGGCCAGGAGGGGCTGGTGTCAGCCAGCTGTGCCCGTGGGTCTGTCCTAGCTCTGCTCTGTGCCTGAGCTGCTCTGGTTGTTGCAGGGCCAAGCCTAAGAAGGCGGAGGATGAGCCGGCGCGGCGGCGATCCATGCGCCTGCTCAGGGAGCCGCCGCTGGACGTTCCCTTGCTGGAGACGTTTGCCCGGCCAGAGGCAGAGGAATATGTGAGATGGGGAGGGGCTGCAGGAGGGGTGGGTGCACAGCAGCTTTCTGAAGCTGCCGCTGGTGACACTGATGGGTGGCACTGGGCACTGCACTGAGGCGTTTGGGAGCTGTGACACAGGGACAGGAAGGAGGGCTCAGTTCTGTCACCCTGAGCAGGTGCCATGCTCTCACCATGAGCCAGGCAGTGCTCTGTGGCCCAGGCTGATGGCATGGTGCACTTGGGATCCGCAGAAGGGTCCTGACGTAGAGTGTTCCCCATCAACAGCCCATGGAGCTGAGCAGCCTTAAATCCAAAGGTTTATTACTCTAGTTTTTATTTCGCTGTAACTTCTGAACTGGTTTTATTTTCCTGGGTAATATTTACCATCTCTTTGGAGCAACAAGTAAAAGGCATGCTGTTCTGAGAAATGGGAATTTAAATCTTCCATGGAGCTGTAGAATAGATTTGAATCTGTAGTAAAGGTCTTGCTGCAGTATCAGGAGAGGAAGAAATCCAGGGAGGCAGTTGTTCTGTGCTGCCAGTGAAATTCTCTTTATTTTTTAATAAGGTTATGATCCCACCTTCTGTTTTTACTGTTTATTTCCTGTCCTAGTGTAGATGTGTTCTCAGAATCTCTGGTGGGGAAAGTACCAATTCACCTTGTTTGTGGTTTAGTTGGTTTGAGTTACAAAAATTGCCAATGTCCTCCCAGCCTCAGGTTCCAGGCGGACCTTTGCCCATGGTTCCAGAGTACCAGACAGAGAGCAGTAAATGGACAGAGGCCTTACTGAGCACGTGGATGAGGATAAGTGAGGTATTGTTGGTTTTATTTGTTATTTTTGGATCGTGTAATTTCACCTGGGCTCTGATTTTGGTTAGATATCTCCTTTCTGTGTGTAGGTGAAAGCGGAAGATGCTGAGCGGGACACACCTGACATAAAGAGGTAATGTGAAAACAGCAGCCAAAACTGGGGATTGTCTGGCCACCCTTCCTTCCTTCCCTAATGAATGTTTTGGTGATGGTTGTCATTTTGGTTTTCCAGGTACCAGGAGAGCCTGAGCAGCATGGTGCTGAGAGAGGAGAACATCAGGAAGGTGGTGAAGTCCCGGGTGTGTTCCATGGCCATCCACCCTTCCGAGAGCACCATCCTTGTGGCAGCTGGAGACAAGCTGGGGTGCGTTGGCCTCTGGAATGTGGTGAGTGCTTCATGTGCTCCTCGCCTGAACAGGTGTGTGCTTCAGGACAGCTGCAGGTGGGGCACAGCCTGGGGTGGCATTTTGTCAGGCTCTTGAGAGTGTTCTAGGTTTTTTCCATTCTTAGGGATAATCCTTGGTGGTTGTCAAGAGTGATTGTCAGGGTTGCCAGAGCGGCTTTCCCTTTTGCTCTCCCTTGTATTTTTCTGAAGTTTGAAAGCAGAATCATCTTTGTGGGATGAACCAGAACTTGGTCCAAAATGACCTGTTCGGTTTCTTTTAAAATAACAAAATGATGCAAAAGTTAGAAGAGAAGACGCAGGAGATCCTGTGTTCATGCAGTTTGGGTCGCTAATTCAGCCTGAGCTCTCAGGAGCCCAGCGTGTCCATATTTTGATGTGGTAGCAGAAGCCAGCTGTGCGGGTGTGCCAGGTGCTGCTGTCCAGGCCCAGGGCTGGTGGTGGCTACAGTGGCACTAAT